CCCCCCCGGCGTCCAAATCCACCCCATCGCTGCAGTCGAAGTCGAGCTCTCCTTCTGCGACACCAGTATCCTGCACAACGACGTCGCCCGCACCTGCGCCGACCTGCACACCCCCTTCGTAGCCTACTCGCCGCTGGGCCGCAGCGTGTTGGCCGGCGCCTTCTTCCGCGCCGCTGACATCCCCGAGTGACTTCCGGCGCGCCCTGCCCAAGTAACAGGACGCCGCGATGGCGCAGAATACCAAGCTCGTAAACGAGGTAAATACCCTGGCCGAGCGGAAGGGCGTCGCGCCCGTGCAGATCGCCCTCGCTTGGATCCTGTCGCCCTCTGGGCGGCCTGGCTTGCCGACGATTATCCCGATCCCCGGGAGCACTACGAGCGACAAGGTCAGGCAGAATCTGGTTGGCGTGTCGTGGTTGAGTGACGGGGAGATGGAGGAGATTGCGGCGATTTTGCAGCGGAATGAGGTTGTGGGGGAGAGGTATTGACTACGGGTTGGGAGGATAGGTGGTTTAGATGTGGATGGGATTGATTGGAAATTGTCATTGAGAGTGTGATAGGTAGCATTGTGATTCTATATCTGAGTCTAGGTTGTGTTTCTGGTTCGGTGATAGTCAAGGCCTGAAGACGCGTTTCGTCAGCTTTGTTGCGGCATTGTGCTTGGATGTAACAAATGACACGAGACAAAGGTGATCAGATCAAGTGTAGAAGAGTCAACATGCAATCTCACAGAAATTAGGAGACTGTCGGAATTGCAGAATTCTTCTTTTTTGTTCATCATGTTGGTGGTGGGTTGGGTTGGGTTGGGTTGTTGTTGTGCTGTGGTAGGAGCAAATCATAGCTAAACTTACCCCTGTAACTGTTAGCTTCCACCAGAGTGGTCGATCAAGCAGAGAAACATCGTCCTCAGATGTTCTTGGCCCTCATGGTGGCACCATTGAGCCATGCGACTGCGCAGGTTGACAGAGGAGAGGAAGAAAGAAGAGAGAGAAGAGAAGGGAAAGCATGCCAGGTTTTGTATCCGGCGGGTCACGTGCGGCAATGAGATGGTGGTATAGATCCGACCGCATAATCTCCGGTCTCCGTCCGCGGCAGCTCGCTCCCTCTCTCCCCAGTCTTCCAAACTTCCAAACATCAATCCTCAACTCATTCACCACCACCACAACCTGCGATCGCCCCATTCTCGCCGCTCGAAAGACCCCTTCAATTCATATCACCTGATCGACTCCACCCCACCCCCACAAAACCTGTCACCATGACAGAATCACCAGGCTCCCCCCTCTCGTCGATCGCCTCCGACGAAGATATGTTCGACCGCGACGAGCTCAAGCAACCGTTCTCGCCGTCCGGCTCCGTGACGAACTCGAACATGCCACCCTCAAAACGGCGACGCACAGGCGGCGTAGCCTTATGGGACCGCAACACGCCGGTCTCGACGACGTTCCAAGACGACCTGCCGCCGCCGGCGTCGCCATCGACCTCCATCTCCTCGGACACCTCAGGCGAGATCCCCAATTCACCGGCCACGTACGCGCTCATCGGTGGGGGCATCGACGACGACTACAGCGGACAGGCCAACGACCAGGTGACGGTGTGCCGGTGGGACGGGTGCGACGCCGGCGACTTGGGTAATATGGACGGGTTGGTCAAGCACATCCACGACGAGCACGTCGGCAGTCGCCAGAAGAAGTACTCGTGCGAATGGGCCGACTGCAGTCGCAAGGGCCAGACGCACGCCAGCGGCTATGCGTTGCGCGCCCACATGCGCAGTCACACGCGCGAGAAGCCGTTCTATTGCGCTCTACCTGGTACGTTGCGCTCCCTCTTCCTTCCTTCTCCTCCGAGGTCCTTGCGAGCTTCGGTTGTGGGTTGAGTGAGTGAACTAACCAAAAACTAGAATGCGATCGCAGTTTCACCCGCTCCGACGCCCTCGCTAAACACATGCGCACCGTCCACGAGACCGAAGCCCTGCGTCCCTCCGACCCCGTCCCCAAACACCACACGACCCTCGCCGCCGCGGCCGCGGCCGCAGCAGCCTCTTCCTCCACGGCGGCCACCCCCACCGGTACACCCGCCGGCAAGGTGCAGCGCCTCAAACTCCGACTCACGCATCCGCCCAAGGGGGAGGATCTCGGCGAGTACAGCGAGACCGCGAACGATGAAACCGAGGAGGATCTGCAGGTGCCGCCTGTGGGGTCGGAGAAGGGGTTCGATGTGCATGAGCTGCTGCTCGAGGGCCCGCAGCTTTATCGATTGCTGCTGCGGCAGATCCACTGGGCGCAGAAGGAAGGCGAGCAGTTGAAGGATGCGTGGGAGAAGATCCAGGGCAAGCGCAAGGAGGTCTGGCTCGAGAAGGAGGCGATCTTCGATGACCTGGTCGAGGCGGAGCTGGGTCTGTTTCGCACGATAGCCGGGCAGAGTGGCGGACTGTTGGGGCTAGAGTCGGAGCAAAAACCGTTCCAGCTGGAGCAGCAGCAGCAGCAGCAGCAGCAACTGGAGGCGGCGGAGCTTGCCGAGTCGGAGATCAAGGCTGATTCTCAGGATGTTGGGGTACTTTCGTGAGGGAGGGCCATCGTATCCGTGACTCGCGTGGCCTTCCTCCCTGCTGGTTTTCATTTCTTACCCTGCCTTGAACTCTCGATACCGAGAATCTTGCCTTCCCCTACTTCCCTCCAACTCCTAAGGTGCTGTGTTCTCATGGATCCTATTGGAAACCATCATAACTCACTCGCATCCCGGCTGTTGTTTTCCTTGATTTTCTGCCTAAAAAATATCCCTGGTCTTTTGTTTTGTTGGTCGTTGAATGCTGCTGCCACTTTTGTATTGACGGAAATGGGGGGGAGTTCGGCGCTAAATCCTATCTTCATGGTTCTGAGAACATCCACAGCTACATTTTCTCTAGCGCATAATCGTCACTGTCTTTCCGGACTACAACAACATACGAGACAACTTGAACGTAGATAGAGAAAGCGGTAGTATGCCACATTGAACAAGGTATCAGCTCAGCCATCCAATAATAGCCAACAGCACCAAGATCTAGTTCAAGCCAGCCACTACTCTCAAAACCAAAAAGCTCAGCTCTCCGTCAACACCTTAATGTACATACACCAAATCCCAATCTCAAACCCAAACCCACTAATACCAAATTCAAATTCAAAGCCAATCTGTCCAGAACACAACCACCACCCCCGCAAAACAAAACCAAACCATCCCGTAAGCAAGCATCCGTACGAAAGTAGCCTAGCGCACGATCACCCACCAAAGTCAGCACAGAACCAAACCATACCCAATACAATCACCAAAGACCCAAGGAAGGAGAAGAAAAAGAGACATACCAAGAACAACCCCACACGACTAAACATAAGGCCCATAGGTCATCCCAGGCGGCAACTCAATAATGCCCGAGGAGCAGTAGCACCGGTGGCCGCGCTTGGAGCAGTCGCACGCGGTGCGGATGTGGCCGCAGTAGCAGTGGCGGTACTTGTCGCAGACACCCCAGCATGGCTTTGTTTTGTTAGCTTGCTTTCGGTTCATGGGTTGAAGCTTGATGCTTATGCTTTATCATCATGTAGGAACATGAGGAAGGGGGGGGGGGGAGAACGTACCTGGCTCCGAGCGATCAGCGGGGATTTCTCGTTCGGTGTCGTGCCAAGGTCCACGCTGTCGTCGACTGTAGCGTCCAGGGTGGCGGTGGGGATTTCATCTTCGTCATCATCATCGAATTCGTAGGTGGTGTTGGCGATGTCGTCCTCGGTGAGAGGGGCATCATCTGGTTCGGCGATGGGGATGTTTGCGTCCTTCTCCTCCTCATCATCGACGGTCGTGATGGGTGCAGTGGCGTTGATGTGCACGGCTTCAGCGTTGTCGACCACGTCCCTTGGGGGCAGGAACGGGAAGTAGCATTTGCAGCGCTCGCCGGGGTGCTTGCAGGCGCATTTCTTGCCGCGGCATGAGCATTGTTTCTTCTTGTTGCAGATGCTGTAGCAGGTCTGGTTATTGGTATTAGTATGGATGGGACGTGATGAAGGAGAAAGACGGAGAAGGGAGCTTAGGGCAAAGACGTACTCGCTGGGCCGGAGCGGGGTTGAAGTGATCAGGGATCGGAGTGATATCTGTTTCCGAGTCCTCGGCGTTTTGGTCGTCTTCTTCGAGGTCGTTGTCCTTGGCGGCGTCCTCAGGAGTATTGTCTTGGACAGCAAGGGTGGGGTCCTCGTCGACTGTGGCCGCCTCGGTCTCAGTATCATTGTCGTCGGCGCGTGTCTTCAGATGAGGACCTGTGCACGTGCACGGAAAGCCGGGGATCCTGCAGGGACACACAGCGCTGAAACCGGGACTTCGGCAGTGGCACTTGTGGTTCAAGTCGCAGATGTTCCGGCAGACCTGGGGAATTTCTCAGTATTGATACCGAAGGCAGCAGAGGGGGGGACCGGGGTTTATGGACTGTACCTTTGCAGGGGGTGGCGGGACGAAACGATTGCTGGGAGAGACGCCATTCGTATCATCGGCAGAGTCGAGGCCAGAAGTCTCCGGGACATCATCGTCAGACACCGCGACACCTTCCTCGATGGCAGTAGCATTGATAGTGTCGTTATCGCCGGAAGCACCAAGATCCCTGCGGGCACTCTTGCAATAGCACGGACGGCCGGGGTTCTTGCAGGGGCAGCTAACGTGGTAGGCGGCGTATTTGCAGTGACACTTCTTGTCCTTGGAGCACATCATACCGTGGCACAACTGGCGAAGCGGTCAGCATGGATATTATCTGTGAGCTGGCGGCGTGGAACTTACTTTTGGTTTTGGAATCATGAGGTTGTCGACAGAGGATGGAGTGAAATCCAGGTCGTCGTCTTGCACGCTGGTAGTGTCTTCGACATCAGAGACCGCAGTATTGTTCGCCTTGGTGACATCCTCGTCATCGACAGCTCGAACCCAAGGTCCCGTGCAGCTGCACTTCTCACCAACCTTGTCACAATGGCAGCGAGCGAACACATTCCTTCCCTTGCAACGACAACCGAATTGGCCGCAAACTCCAACGCATTTCTATTGGTCTGTGTCAGCGTGTTCAATTTCTGAGATGGTGCGAGCAACTTACCCCGGGTCTCTTGTTCGAGAGGCTACCATCAGATGAGGTGTCAGTGTCAGTGTCAGTGTCTAGCTCGTCATCGTCATCGTCAGATGAGGTGCCATCATCAGAGGTATTGTCGACACCATTGACATCAGGAGTTGTGACACCCTCATCGACCACAGGATTGTCATCCGAGTTATCAACACCAACACCCTCATCAATATCCCGAGAAATAACGCCCACAGACCCGCAGCTGCACCTTCCTCCAGGATTGTCACAGCCACAGTAGATCCGGGTCTTGCCACGTCGACAACGGCACATCCTGCTTGCAGAACACGTGCCGTAACATTTCTGTAGCTTGCATGTCAGCTTGATCTGCACGTTGATAGTGAGTGGGAGGAGTAGAAGTTGGGAACGTACAGTAGGCTTCGGAGCCGCGTGAGTGTCAGCAGAAGAGATATCCAAAGTCAGATCATAAGAGCCAGTATCATAGCCAGTATCAGAGACAATTTCAGAGCCAGTATCAGATCCAACAAAGTTGTCAGACACCGCAGTGGTGAAGCCATCCTCGCGGACCCTGAGCTCGTCCTTGTTGTCATAAGTGGTAACGGTGGAAGCACGGGGGTCGGTCAGGGCTGTCTGTATAAACAGACCAAAGACCAATATCAGAATAAATTTGAAGGAAAGCATCGTGATGGAAAGGAGTGTGCTAGATAGTGAGGGTGTGAACGAGTGGATCGATGTAAGAGATGTGGATGATGAAGAAAGAAAAGAGAGAAGGAGGAAGAAGAGAAGAAAAGTGGGTGTTGATGAAGAAAGGAAGAGGAGGAGGAGGGAAAGAAGAGAGATCGATGGTCAAGATAGCCATATTTATAACCCAGGTACACAGCCAGATCCCCAGGAAAAGAGTGAATGAGCCCAGAGAGTCCTGCACCGATTAGGCATCTTAAGCGAGTTTCTTGTGAATAGAATCATAAACTCGGAGATGGGTTGAACACGGATATGGGTCATCCGGATCAGACATAGCCATCAACAGGAGTTTGCCAGGAAGTTCTCAACGAGATGTTGTGAGAGTTTGGTACCGAAGGCACGAGATCGAATGAGATATCACGAGATACTACACTCCGAATCGGGTAGCACCGCCTCCTGTTATCATTCTCGCGAGATATCAAGACACATACCTCAGGATTATTGATAGACAGTTGAGCAGGAAGTACAGTATCTTATCGGGTTACCCATCAAACGAGAAAAAGCTCTAGCCTTCCAGTGCAGTATATAGCTCGCTCGATACTTGATCATATACACCAACCGGCCAAGTCAAACTAGACGAGAAACCTATACGATCTCAACGCCCCTCATCCCCACCCCCCCCCGCATACACAAAAGCTACACCTCATGCGGCAGCCCAGCCCTGGGCACCCAGAAGAGCGTGCCCCAGATTCCCAGCGCGACAGTCAACATCGCCAACAACATCGGCTGCAGGACCGTGACCCCCTTCGCCTGCGCAACCGCCCCGATCATGAACGGAAACACCGCCCCTCCGCCCATCGAGAACGCAGCGGCGAACCCAATGGCCGCGACATGAAGGCTCTTCGGCAGGAGCCGCGTCGACAGCGCAACCACCCCGGGGAAGATCGTCCCCAGAAAAAAGCCCACGAGGGCGACCGCCAGTGCGGACACGATGAACTGCGGCACGAGCCAGAAGATCAGCTCGAGCACGATAGCCACCACGATGTAGCCCGCGATCGACAGCTTCTCACCCACCCGGGGCGAGACGAATCCCAGGACGAAACGACCAACGGTAATGCCCAGCCAGAAGCCGGTTTCGGTCATTCCCGAAGCGAACGCGCTGCCGTGGCGGACGCTTGTCATGAAGACGACGATCCAGCCGCCGATGGTCACTTCGATGCCGCCGTACAAGAATAGAAAGATGGCGCAGATCCAAGTCACGCGGTAGGTGAGCGAGAGGCGGGTCTGGTGGAGGGAGCCGCTTGTCGCGGAGGTGCTGCTGGGGTTGTCGTGCCGGTATTTGGTGCCGGTTTCAGGCCAGAAGGCGGCGGTTGAGTAAATGAGGTCGATGGCGGCTGCTCCGGCCTGGTACACTTGTTAGGGCTCATGACCTGCTCGGGGTTCAGGGCTTGGGGGATAATACCATCAGGTAGTAGAAGGAGTACCAACTCCAACCTGCCTTGGTGATCAGACTTGTAGCAACTAGGGGACTTGTCGTCGCCCCTAGGCCGTAAAATCCATGGAAGAATCCGAGGACTTCATGGGAGTTAGCCATGTTGCCAATCCAGACATTCCACGCCGCGCTCTGAATGCCACTTCCCAGGCCGATGAGCATGTACATAATGACCAGAACCGGAAAGGGTGGGTGGATGGCTATGACGATAAATGGAAGCAGGTGACACCCTGCCCCCAAGATGGCGACGCCTCTCCGGCCGAGTCGCTGATGGACCAAGTGGCTCAAGACGGCGGAAATCGTGTATCCAGCGAAAGGGGAAAGGAATACCAGGGAGATGATAGTGTAGCTTTTGCGATAATCCAGCTCAAGCTAAGCAGTGTCAATGTATATGGTGACGATGGAGGAGTGTGCACGAGCATACATAAGAGATTATCGCTCCATAGGCAGCATCATTAGCGCCCATCACCAAAGCACACCAGAAGGTAGCACTTAGCCTCCAAACCATGGTTCTAGACTCGTTCCATCTAGGTGCGACGTTTACTGCGTGGACGGGTGGGATGTCTGTTGCGGGGGTGGTGGCAGCGGTGCCCTGCATGTCTAGCAACACAATATCATGGTGGTGGCGGTGATGAGATGGGGAGGCAGATGACCTTGAGTCTGTTAAAGCTTCTGTAGCCATTGATGGACTCGAGTACACAGAGTTCTAGAGGAATATATGAATCTGAATCCGAGAGAGGAGTATTGGAAGCCGTGACAAAGGTAAGCATGGAAATCGAGGGGAAGAAGGAGCAATTGCGGGGAAGCAATGCAAACCATGCAAAGCAAGTCTCCTCGACTTCCTATACTTACAAACAGACTGGTGTACGTCTGTCTTCTATGAGCCTCATTTGCAAGGATCTGCCATCGCTTCTTGTTTGGAATAGGTTGAGGAGCTTGAAGGGACATGGGAGGTATCTATATATGTACAACCGGGTGCTTGACTTTTGCTGCGACGCCGCCCGGACCATACAATACTGATAACCGAACAGTATACTATCTGTACTACAAGATTGATATTTCTTGTGGCGGCGGGTACGCAAGATCAACCCGAGTGGTCCCTGAACAAGAAGAGTTCATCCCAAGCCACACTCTCCTCCTCGACTGGGAATACAAGATAAAATACAAAAATAAAGAGAAGAGGGAAAAAAGAAAAACAACAACCGAAGAAAGCGAAGAAAAAAAAAGAAAAGAAATCCAATCCAGCTCCGATGAGCTGCCGATGCTAATGCGGCTTTGAGGGCCTTCTTCTCCTCTCTTAGGAGTTGAATTAATTCCTTTTGATCTTTGATCAATTCGGCTGGGCGGCCAACCGTCCTTCATGTGCTTTGAGCTGCTCCTCTTTCTCTTTCAAGAGTTGGATTAACTCTTTTGTTCCTTGATCAGGTCGGCCTGAGTTGCTAACCGCTTTTCTTGGGCTTTGAGGATAGTATCCTTCCATTCGTCTCTTAATCGAAATCTGTCGTTCGCTATCTTCGGATACCTGGACATAGGGGTGTTACTTGAGAAACTCGTTCACCATTATCTCTATAATTTTGGAGATAATCAGATCATACCAGGCTGTCCGCACAGTTCGCGGACTTTATGGAGATCCTCAACATTGTCGAGATTCATGGTTATTTGTGGCAGCACTAGTCTCTAGAACTCAACTTGTTAGCAGGCGAGAGAAAGTGACTAAGGAGTTCAGAAGGTTGATAGATGTACTCATACTTCTTGTTCAGAGTTTGAGATGTGTAAGAAACCACTGGGTCTGATGCTAGTTGGCCTCGCTAACGCAGGTTGCAACCGATCCGTGGGTGGTGATGAGGCGCTCATTGTAGTAAAAGGAATTTCATGTCGTAGTTAGAGACTATGTTTGATACATGGAGAGAAAGAGGAAGAAGAAGATCAAGCCCTCGAGATATTCTGGAGGAAACACAACTGAGAAAGAGGGCTTTGTGTGAATGAACGAAAGGTCACGAAGGCAAGTGATGTTGTCAGACAAGACCAGAAAACATAGTAGGAAGGAGCCAAACAAGGCCCGGACTGGACTTGGAAGTTCGAGGTGCTGGAAAGACGCACCTTCAATGGGTTGGACCTACATCCCGGCCAATTCCGTCATGATGAGTTCCAAATGCCCGAAGATGGCGCAAAATTTGACACCCACTGACTTACAACACCCATCATGTACAAGAGATAGCAATCTTATCCACAACACCTATTACCTGCAAGGATAAACAGTGTTGATTGATATACCCTCTATTTATATGATTGATAATCTTGACCACAATACCTATCATCTACAAGAACTAGTAATCTTATCCACAATACCTTTTACCTGTAAGGGATGACAGTCTTGACTATCCATATCTACTACTTATAGGACCGACAGGCCTAACCACAACACCTATCACCTACAAGAATCGCCGATCAAAAGCAAGAGTGGACCAAGAAAGGAGAGACAATCATGCCTCTAACCAGTTACATCACCACAAAACTGACCGAGCGTCCTCTTCGGGCTCTTGAGAAAAAGTTCGCGCGTGAGGGCAAATGGCGGCAAGCCCAACAACTCCGCCGCAAACAGTTCGAACTGCAGCTCAAACTGCAGCTCAAACAGGACTTTCCCGATCGCAGACAGTTGTCGTGCGTGCAGGAACTTATCAAAGCGGACAAGCAGATTCTATTTCAAGTCATGGCCCATGCCGCTTCCCAAGCGAGCCGATCCTGCAAGAACGGAGGCCTTCCGGCGGCAGACAAGAAGAATCCATCCCAAGCCACACCCTCCTCCTCCACTGGGAAAGCCAAGAAAGCGCGATTTGAAGTTCGGGGCAATGCCATTTCGTCGAAACGCAACGAGACAGACGAGACCGAATTGTACTCGGACGGCAGCCGAGAAGCGATCTGGATTGCGGAGCAAAACCGACACAAGATTCTCTCAAAGCTGCAGGATGGGCCACTGAAACGAGCTTACCTATCCAATCATAAGAACCCAGGCTGGCATCTTTCCGAGTGGCAGCGGAGCGAATGTGTTGTGGCGGGAGGATGCTGCGCGCGGGATTGCGGCTGCTGTGCGAGACCCAGATGCTCCGATCTTGCAACACCGCATTACGGTCATTGCCTCTCATCCTGCATCTGCTGTGCCAAGATACGAGGCTTCGAGATACTATTCGATACCTTGGCCGACGACAAGATGCTGCCAGAGTTTGACGTGGGCCGTTGGAATGGGGATAAACGTGTGTATGAGTATCACTTGATGAATGCCCATGTCTGGGGACTCTAGGATAAATGCTACTTCTACACTGAGCTCCTTGCTTGTTTTGCTCTTACGCTCTAGTTATCATTGTTTGGCACCCTCTGATTTAGACCTCTGTCCCTAACTCAGGCAGAAATTTAGATGCACTACACCAGGATGGCACGCGATCTGTTATCTCACCGGGTTGCGTGGTAACTTGATTGCGGCGCTGTAATTGATTCTCGGTTCCACGGGCATGGGTACGTATGTTAGGGTGGGAACCCCGTCTTCGGGCGCGTCCTCAGCACGTAGGAAAAAGTGGCATTGGAGCTTGGTCAAGTAAGAAACCCGGCCGGAACTAAGGTTTCTACCCCTGCGCATCCCTGAGGTATCTGTTTTCTAATCGGCACAGGGTGTCTGGTTGAGGGCAGAGGCGGGATAACATCAAGAAAACCATCGCGAGCTTGAGTATTCTCAATAAACATTCTCTATCGCCTTTTGCTTCGTCGTGATATCACTCCGAGGACCCCTCAACTGCGTTCTGATCGGCTAGTTGATACTTTACTCCTCTATAGAGACAACCGGCCCCGACAGGCCCCATCGCTGCATTGATAGGTGTATATCAAAGAGACCAGTTTATTACCAAGTTATAGCTCACTGTGCTCAACATACTTGAGTCTCGTATGGCTTAGGAGCCGATTTGGTTATGGTTGGGGGCCAAGTCTTACCCACTTTCACTCGGCCTTGTAATGCTTATGCCCGGCGCCACCCTACAGATTTTTGACTCATATATGAGACGGGTTGAGCGTGATTGACAGTTTCGGGGGGCGTCTGCCGCCGCATATACGCGTTAACGTATGCTCATCTCCCCTTCAATCCTATCAAACCCTTCTTGAGAGACAGAGGAGCTGATAACCTCGGAAAACAGGAAGAACAAAGCCTCCTTGAATGCGATGACACCGTGCCCCCGCTGTTCTATGATATTGAGCCCACTCTCGCTGGTGCGGCGGCCCGGTCTTCGCCGAGCCAGGGGCATACTTCATTTGCGAGCGAGTGTCCTGAGGCGAGCTGGCAGGCTGAGGCATTCCGTGATCGGGTTGCGTATATTCATAATTGGAGGGATTGCGCGGTGCCGTATGAGGCGCAAGTTGCGATGGTGCAGGGGACTGGGGTGAAGTGGGTTTTCAGGGAGATTGAGACGGGGCATAGTGCGCAGATGTCTGCGCCGGAGGAGTTGGCGAGGGTTATTTTAGAGGTTGTGTCGCTTTGAGTGTAGGATGGACAGCTGCAAGGGACATGAGGTGAAGTTTGATAATTCGTATTTGTAATTCGTGTTGAATGTGTCTGATTTTACCAAGCCAGAGAAAGCAATGGAATAGCATTGATCACTGCCATCAGATAGATTAAATACAGTAGGCATAAGGATCTCTTTTCTGACAGAATAGAGGTGGGCACAGTCATCGCTCTGCAGCTACAGCGCACGGCCATATCCGCACAAACACAAATTAATTCCATTCATGTCGGAGTCGTGACTGCTCGCCCACAGGTTGTTCAGTCAGTCCTCATGATCCTCGTCCTTCGCGCTGTCTTTCTTGCCGTCCTCCTCGGCCTTCTCCTCGTCCTTCACGCCGTTCCCCTTGTTCTCCACATCCTTCACTTCGTCCTTCTCACCCTTCACCCCGTGACCGCCATCCCCATCAACTCTGACACGGCGCCCGCCCAAGATTATCGAAGGTACCGAATAGGCCACAGGCGCGTCAGGCGGAACAAGGTGATTGCAGCAGTAGTTCTCCACCGAGACGACGTGAGGCTTGTCCATGGGGGAACACTTGACGATGGTGCCCAGTCTGGCCTCGCATTGGTGGAAGATGCCATTCACGGTGCAGCCGCACGTGTAGGCTAGTTTTGTGTAGTGACACCTTTGGATCTGCATTAGACAGCTGGGATAGTCTTGATACCGAGGGTATGACTTACATCTTTGGATAGTGTTCGGGACTGAGTTGATTGTTTGGATGGAAATGAGAAAGAAGGCTGGTGGTTCAGATGGGAAGTGAGAAACTCAGGTTTGGAAGTGGTTGTTTGTCCAGTACAGATGTTTCTTGGATGGTGTTTGAGGTTTGCGGGACTGACAGGTGTGCAAGGTGAATCCAACAGGGGAGAGGAAGCATATTCACTGATCGCAGCTTACTTTCCCCTCAAGGTAACACAGAAGTCATGTGACCATGGATATTCTTTGCTTAGGCAGGTCACGAGATCCTGGTTGTTGAGTATATCGCATTGGCGCTGGGCTTGAAATGATCTCTGAACCTGTGAATAGCAGTCGTTGAATCTGCAAGAGTTACTGGCTCCACGGGTGCATCACCGTGGATTGTTTGTAGCCCTAGCGACACAGCGTGTGACGGCCCTCCTGCTCGGGATACACATTCTTCTATCTATTCCAGCCTGTATGTTTCCTACACCCTTGCCTCATATTTCACAGCGAGAGACACGGATCTCCCGTAAGTCTAGATCTGCACGCAGACGACGGCCTAGGCTGTGGCTACCACCACCCTTTGCACAACCTGTTTGAAGAACGTAGAGTTTGAACGACCACCACTATCGTCCATAACCCAAGCCACCACTTCAATACATCAGGAACCATCAAACAGGAGGAGTCTCTGCTCTACATTTGCGATTTGTGTCATGACACTCTTCACCTCGCCTGTTGTGAGAGACAGCCATCTCGATGCAAGACTGGCACCCTCGACCCGCTCCATAATCATGTATTCAGCACCGACTGGATTGGTCGAAGAGGTCGAGTATGCCCAGACTTTTGGGACTGGGAGATTGAGGACGCTGCGTAAGAAGTCTATTGTCGCTACCTCGCTAGCCGTGGTGTAATGAGGGGCGCCGGCGATGGGGGTGGGCATTCGCGCAATCGATTCTCTACCAGGGTTGGCTTTCAGAAGGAAGACTTTGTTGAAGCATCCTTCTGCGAATTTGATGATGGAAGGGCAATGGGCTTCTCCCATTGCTTGACCGGCTACGCGCTGCAGCTCCGTCGGGTTGAACTTGACATATCTCTCCTTGAGTCGCTCATCCTCATTCATTCTAGAAAGACTCTCAGTACCTGCGCTCCAGGTATAGTAGAGGGAGGAGAGCTAATATCCACCGTCGAGATGTACAGCTCGTTGGCGAGATGCAACGGTCGACTGACAGCATAGCGACGCGACTGTATCGATATAACAGACTCCGTGGGGTGGCATGATCCAGAAATAACAGAATCAAGTGATCTACTTCGAGTAATACATAAACATCGTAACCGGAACATCATCCGATAAAGAAACGCGCGGATATGAGACCAAGAGATGCCTAGAGAATCTAAGTTTGCGGGGGAATGCGGGTTGACAACAACAACTCCTGCCAAACCTCAGTGGTCCGGCGAGGGATGAAACCTGCATCAACACCCAGCACAACCGTCAATTCGAAGGCCAAACAGAGCTACCAATCCTCACTTGATCTGAGAAATTTAAGTAATGGGCTCCACGGTGGAGTCTTGATGGCTCAACCTTCAACCTTTAGTTGAACACTAACGCAGCGACGGAAATCATCTTCCGCCGCCTGCAAGGAACAAGGGAGTCTTGGCATTCGCTTGTGCTTCGTAGTGCATTCCAGATACGTTACGTAGTTTGTCTATGGAGACCGGATTTGCCCATCACCACAAAGAGTGAGTTTTCTGATTAATGCAAATGTCAGACTTGGCAAAATAGTTTGAATACTACCCTGGTCCATGAGACGGGAAAGTAGCGGGACCAAGAGGCGCGGATTAGGGCTGCCGTATGCGTCTTCACACTCATTGTCCGCCGTGTTAGAGCACTAAGTCTCAACATCGAAAGCATGGGGCGGAGTTTAAGCTGGCGCAGACTATGCGCAAATCCCGAGCTGAGCCCAAGCAGAGGCTCGCATCTCGTCGGGTAGTTAGTGTGATTACTTTGTAGCCTTCCTTCTGTTAATAGAGAAACAAAGCACATCTTTTAATGATATCCATACAAGATATATCTATAGATATCTTCACAAATATCTAACGTGAGCGGATCAAAGATTTGTCTTTTCGTAGTATTCGTTAAGCTATATACTCTAATTACGAAGACAGAAAGGATTAAACACAGACAAAACTAAACTACAGAAAATCTAAACAAACAGCTTTTCAGTGGTGACCAATGCAGCCTCAGACAACAGCTAGCGCCGAGAAACCACCTCGCGGCCTGCGCCCATGACCAGCTCCCAGGATGTAATCATATAGTCCAATCCGGCTCGCTTCGCTTTGCCAAACCAGTCCAAAACTGGGAAACCTGGTAGCAGGCGCACGGTATCGTCACGGTCAAAGCATTCCTGCAGGTCCTCGACCGCGATGCGAACAATAGCTTCGTGGTGCAGGATGCGTGGGTTGGATGCAGCCCCACTGTGGCCGATGTCAAGATCAGTTGAGCCAGCACCCGCTGAGGTGTGGAAGAGACTCTGGTGAATCGCCTGCACGACCTGATCCACGTGCCGGAGGTGGATTGCGCCGGTGACCCCGTCGAAGGCAGGCCTCAAGCGTAGACTCGCCGCGATAGTCACCAACTGGTCGAGCACCACGGCGGCGTCGGCGGTGGTATTACTGGTCGATGCTCTGTCACTAGCACGGGGAGTTGGCTCCGGGCGATGAATGAAAACAGGGATCCCGGTTGCCGCGGCGAATCGATGCAGGAACTTTTCAGCTGCCCACTTGCTGGACAGGTATCCATCGCTCCCATCCTGCGGCGGAAGGGCACCACTCTCGTCGAAAGAAGCGACAGCGCCAGAAGATAGAACGTGGAAGGGAACAGGACGACGTGTGGCTGTGGCGAGTTTCGCGAGCTCCTTGACTGAGTCGTAGTTGTCCGGCCGAAGCACCTCGTATTGGTCCCAGAGAGACCGGTTAGCCGCACAGTGGACAATAGCATCAACCTCGGCGACCAGAGTGGCATAGGCTTCATCCGAGAGGCCTAGATTTGGCTGAGAAACGTCTGATTGAATCAAGCTTAGTTTGGGGTCGGCATTTTCATTGTCGCCGTCACCGGGGAGCTGGCGAGCCAGGCAGTACACTCGAGAGACCTTCCGGTCATTGACCAAACTAGGAAGTAAATGGCGTCCTAGATACCCGCCAGAACCTGTCAACAACACTGTGATGGAATCAGAATCTCTTGTCAGACCTGCAATACTCGTTTCCAGGGGCTGCATCGCCCAGTGAGGAAGCCGAGTCTCAACTTCCCAGTCAATGGCCCCGCCCGAACGACTGGCTCTAATCACTGCAGTCATGGCCCTAAGAGTAGGAGCGCCCATCAGGGTCACAAGTTGTGGAGCGGCAGCAACTGATGTTTTCAACAGCTGCTGCAATTTCACCAGGAGAATGGAGTTGCCGCCAACCAAGAAGAAGTCGGATTCGGGTGTAAGCGGGCCGGGATCGAGCGGCATGACCTGACGCCAAAGCTCGCTCAGCTTCAGCTCGCTTTCAGTGAGCTGATCGGAAGCATTCTTTCCGTCTGCTGCCTTCTCGGTCGTTCCTTGCTCGACGGGCAATGCCTGGAGTGCGCGCCGGTCGACCTTCAGATGGGCAGTGCGGGGAATGTCATCTAGCGGCACGATGGCAGAAGGTCGCATGTATGGCGGGAGAGGTAAGCTGTACCGGATCGCCTGGATTGTTCTTTCCCGAGATTCTCTCGGGAAATCAGGTACGAAGACGACGTGTGCCGCCAAGAAGCCCTCCTCCCCGCTTCCGCGCAGCGTGACGACGGCTTGCGAGATGGCACCGCTGGCGTGCTTGACAATGGCTTTCTCGACCTCGACCAGCTCAACACGGAAACCTCGCAGCTTGACTTGAGAATCACCTTCGAGGCGACCGTCGCAGTACAGCGTGCCATCACTCATCAGGCGGCCCCGGTCACCGCTACGATACATAGTCGTCGAGGTCCCAAAGAAGGTGTCGGGAATAAACTTTTGCATCGTTGATTCTGGATTACCGAGATAGCCCGAAACCACGCATGGGCCGCCAATGACAATCTCACCAGCCACACCTGCTGGCACTGGTCGCAAGTCCTCGTCGACAATGACGCAGGTGTATCCTGGCAACATGAAGCCTGCTGGGAGGGGTTCAGGCAGTGATTGATAATTGAGCTCGAATTTCGTGGAGAAACATGTCGTCTCGGCGGGTCCGTAACCGGTGAAGGCGCGCAACTGTGAGAGGCCAAGATTACGGAATCCAAGAGCCACGCCGCGGCTCATGGCCTCGCCACCAGAGAACGCATGTCTCCAAGAGTCACAACGACTAAGGGTGTCAGCGGCGTACCGTAGCCACATATCGTACTCGGAGGGAGTGCTCGAGGTATAGGTGACCTTCTCGTCCAGCATGATCTTGCTTATTTCCATCGGATCGCCTCTATAGCGCGCGGGCACCACGTACAGACAGCCACCATTAGTCAATGCGGCTAGAGTCTGGTCGAGCGAAAAGTCGAAGCTGAATGCGCTTTGTTGAAGAACAACCAGATCAGGCGTTGCACCATAGATGTGGCTGTTTGCTTCGGCGTTAGCGATTAGATTCTGGTTCTTCATTATGATGCCCTTTGGCTCGCCAGTAGTTCCGCTGGTAAACAGCATGACGGCTGGAGCATCACGTTCTGCACAGTTGCGTGATACACCAGCCCACTTCGAAGTATCGGTACTGGAGAGCAGCACCTCAGTGGCATATCCGGCGCCAATAAGCGCGACCTTATCAGTTGTGGTGTGGTCCGTAAGCATGATCAAAGGTTGCGCCGCCTTGACAATGCTGGCGAGGCGAGGAATCGAATTCCTCAAATCGAGAGGCAAGTAAACACAACCCGCACGAAGAATCGCCAGCATTGAGCAAATCCAGTCCGCCGACGGTTCTTGGAAAACACCAACGACGGTACCCTGCTGAATCCCAGAGGATAAAAGCATATTTGTTATGCAATCAATGCGAGCGCCCATTTCCTTGTAAGTCAAGGCTACCCCATTCCCATCCTTTAGGGCAGGCCGTGCAGGTTGCTTCGCGATCAACTCATCGAGACGCTCACTTACTGTAGCTGGCCATTGGGTGTTGAGAGGAATACCTGCTCCGATCGCTAAGGCGGCCTGGATGTCAGAGGTAGACCATGCGGGTACATCTCCAACCATACCGTCCTCTGCGTTCGCCATGTATTCCAAGACACTGATATATGACCGAAGCAGCATGTCAGTGCTTTCTTTAGAATACAAGGTGCTTTGGAGTCGCAGGTGTATGATAGCAGGCATGTTCATATGTTCGTTGACATCCAAGATGAGGTCGTAACCCGTGCTTGTGTTGCGCCAGGCCGCATCACTGAGCTTACATTCTCCCAACGAAGAAAGGCCTTGGGCAACTTGTTTGTAATCAAGGAAGACCTGGAAGAGTGGGGTGTGATCATTCGAGCGCGGAATGTTGAGCTCTCGCAGGAGGACGTCAAATGGAACCTCGGAGTGGGACAGTGCACCATATGCCGTGTCACGAGCGTTCTGGATTATGGAAGCCAACTTAGTGTCTGCACTCCCTCGTTCGAAGCGCAGAGGCAGAAGGTTCAAAAAGAACCCTACGCTCTGGAGGAACCCGTCGTTCTTTCGGTTTGCATCCGCGATGCCGATGAAGATCTCTCGGGAGCTGCTCGGAAGCAAATTGAAGAGAAGAACCTGCAGCGCACCCAGGTAAACATGAAAAGAGGTAGACTTATGCTTTCGCGCCAAGTTGCGGATTTTGTCGTTGAGATCTTGTCCGATCTGGATTTTGGCCTCTTCCTGGGAGTACCTGGTCAGAGGCTGTCGTGTGGTTGACTTGGCAAACGGCAAGAGCTGAATGGGTTGCAAGTATGCCGAAGTAGGCGATAGTGTCTCCTTGAAGTAGCGAATGCTTTCGCTCGTCCCACCCAGTTCATGCAAACGTCTTTGCTGACTAGCAAATGATCGGTATTGCGACTCAACCGGCAAGGGTGGCAAGTGTTTCGTCCTGTAGGCGACGTCAAGATCCCGAAGTAGGACACTGAAACTATATCCATCGGCCATGATATGGTGCATAGAGATAATAATGAAGTGGACCTCATCGGATAAGGTCAGCAATAGCACCCTGGAGGTATCCATGCTGCTGAGATCCCATGTCTGATTACGGACCATTTCCAGCACCTGGTTCGCTTCATCTTCCGACGCGATGCCTTTATGGGACAATTTTAACATGGACTCAGACGCAATTGCCTGCATGGGCTCTTTCTTGCTGCCGTCACCTGCCCAGAAGAATCGGGTGCGCAGGATCTCGTGGCGCTTAGCAGTCATCCTGACAGCTTCTTCAAGATCCTCTACCCGGAGAGTACCAGTTAACTTGAACATGACTGCCATGTTGAAAGCTGTCTTGTCGGTCAAGTAATTGTCCAGGAAGTAGAATGAACTCTGACCGAACGACATAGGACAGACTACTTCGTCTTGCAACAATGGCTTTACTGCTTGAGCATCCGGCTCTTCAGCAACATTTTTGGCCTTCAGAGATGAGGACGACCCAGCACTCCCATCCTCCGCGAATGCTGGTGTGACCGTCCCTGATGTAGGTGTTCTTGGAGGTGTGTGTCCCGTGTCCGAGCTTCTGTCGCTGCTTGAGCTTGAACTTGACGAGATGTCGACGTTCGGCCGAGGGGCTTTCTCCTCCACCTTGGCAGCGGCTGCGGCTGGCTTTGAAGCCGGTTCACCTTTTTCTTTCTGACCAGCTTCAAGCTTGGAGATGTCGACAATAGAGCTGGGTAGCAACCTGACAGATTCCTCTAGTAGATCTGCAATAGAACTGCCGCCGAGGATTCTTAGGACAGGGAAGTCGACCCCTAGCTCCTTGAAGAACCACGAACGAACTTCAACAGCCATCAATGAGTCGATGCCTTGTTCAACAAACGTCACCTTGTCATTGATATCTGCATCAGATGATACCGCCAAGATACGTCTTAGCCGTGTGAGGAATGCATCTATATGGGGTAGGACACTGTCAGCAAAAGTTTATAGAGCAGATAAATGCCAACAAGGGGAGAAAAACACAAGCCACTAAAGACATACCTTTGATGATGGAAAATACAGCGACCTTGGTTTTAGCCGCTGCAAGCTGTGCTCTGACCGGCTGATTATGGGAAGCATTTCCCATGGATGCCTGCTCCTCGGGACGTTCTAAGATATAATGGCCGAACTTGGGGTCTCTGAAGAACTGGTCAGATGCCTGATCACCGAGGTGAAGCGGCGACACTCCGGTAACGAGTTCCCCTGGCCCAGGGTGGGCAGGGTTACCAATCAGTATCGCCTCAGCGAAGGCATAATGAAGATCCTGTTCGGACATGGGTCTGTAGCCCATCTTTGTGAAAGTGAACTCGTCGACGACATTGTCTCGCTCAACATAGCCAATGCCGATGATGGAGCTGATATCTATGGATGAGGCAGCCAGACCACGTTTCTTTCGCTGCGCCGCAAGCGCACTCATAAACTGGTTGGCAGCGGCATAATTACTCTGTCCACTGTTTCCCAGGACGGCTGTGGTTGAAGAGAAATAGACAAAGAAGTCCAATGGGGTATCATGGAACAGTTCGTCCAAGATGAGCGATCCAAGAACCTTGGGGTTGGTAACAGCCATGAAGTCTTCGTAGGGCATCTTGTCAAAGAGGTTGTCCCTAAGCACCATAGCGCCATTTGCGACTCCTGCCAGTGGGGGCATGGTCTTGACAATCGTTTCATAACATTCTCGTGCCGATTCGCGGTTGGTCACATCCATGGGAAGTATCTTGACCATCGCTCCCATGTGCTCCATGAGCCGGTTGAACTTGGGATTGATCTTGGGCCGTCGACTTGTGAGCACCACGTGCTTCGCGCCATGAGCCACCATCCACTTGCAGAGGGATTGCCCTAGCTCTCCAGATAGACCAACCAAGAGATATGTTCTTTTCGCGTGAAATAGAGTTCCCTCATCAATGGGGCGGACCACGGCCTGAACGGACGGCCCGGTACAATCAACGAGGGAAAAGTGACCTGTAGGCGGCCCAGAGTGGTTTGTGACATCCTTCAGTTGGATGACTGGGATGTCCTTTGCCGCTTCGGCGTATGAACCGATATGGTCATAAGCTTGCTTCAACACGTCGGTGACTTCTTCCCTGGAAACGGATGCCCGAAGTTCCGTTCTGGCATAGAGCACAGTAGCAGGGTCAATGATCTGACAGCTTCGCGGCAGGCACCTCACAATAACACGAGCTGCCTCGGATTTCGCAGAAAGATCGAGGAACTTTGTAGTCGTAGAGGGCAAAATGTCTCTCACGACACGCTCAGGGAAGTTCTTGTTCACAAACAGCCATTCTTTCCCAGGGTTCTTCTCGGAAGTGGTGATCTGCAATCCGATCGACCTGCTACCAAGCAGGTTTTGCAAGATATCTACCACGTATGGATGGGGCTCATGAACAACAAGCATGTCTCCAGTGCTGGCGAGTTGACTGATGCTATGGGCCACCAGGTAGGATGAGATGGCACTAAGCATGGCGACGGGGTCAGTCTGGCGGTCTAGGGTAATGCACCAGTCTGCGGGAACCATTGCGGGTGATTGCAGTGTTGGGGAAACAGCAAAGAGTGTTTCCTGGGTGCGAATGTCCACCCCGACACAAAGCCTGAGGTGTGCTCCGCTGACGATACTGAGTGTTGACAAGAAGAAATGCGTCACACGGATTGTTCTAGTTTCACAGCTGAAAGGCAGAGCAGGGTGCATATGCAATGGAGAGTGGCGCTGCACTTCCCGAATACCCTCTTCCATGGTAAAGGTGAGTGAAGTGTGTTGGGGATCAACCTCATCCGTCACAACTCGGCGTGCGGTATTATACCTCTTGTTGCTGGCTTCACAAGGGTACAATCTCGGAATCAGCTTGGTGGCGTTCTCGATGTACACTTCTGGCTCCAGGGACCACATTAGCTCCTCGGCCGGTAGCCCTGTGGACCACTTGCCAAGCATCTCTAGACGGAGCAGATGCTCTGCGATCAGATTACCCGTGTCTTTCGTTATATGATCAACATCTAGTATCTGCAGAGTAATATTGGGATACTCTGACCGCATGCAACGGGCGATGCCGTTCATCATCTGGGAGTGTGGATTTTCCGCTCTCGCTCCCGTACTGACCCAGAGAATGTTCTTTGCGCGGCGCCAGATTGTCTTCAAAGCTTCAAACTTTTGGAAGGTGCTCGTAGCAAAGATGGGCTGGTCTAGCTCCGCCAGTGAGAGAAGCGTGCTGCCCTCGACCAGGTTACCCGGGCTGAGCTCTTCAATGGAGAGAACTCGCTGGACTTGAGCGAACATAGGGCGCAAGAGAGAAATGAGCTGTCCACACACGCGGTGCGTCCCGAACTTCGTTCCCCCAACCACCACAAGACAGGGAGCGGTCGGAACAGGAAGCTGCATCGGATGGCTAAGCGGTTCACGAAGCATCTGGACTCGCTCGTCCACAGCCTGGGCGCAGAACACATGCAGGGGAATAAGTGGGTGAATAGTGGGGGTCGAGGTTTCGATGCCGCCAAATCCACAGCTACCGAGCAAGTTATCCCATTGCGGTAGGGTAAGCGTGGGTCCGAGTTCTCGCCCAGTTTCCGCTCCTAGCCACCACCCTGGCAGACTTCCAAATGTCAATCCGACACGGAGAGTGCTGTTGTCCACGATTTCCAAAATGATCAAATAACCTCCCGGTTTCAAGAGCCGACGGACGTTCTGCATCATCTTCTCCATGTCCACTGTGGCATGCAACACGTTAGATCCGATGACAATGTCGTAGGATCCCTCAACGAAATCCTGCGACTCCGGTGTCTGATCCATGTCAAAGGTTTTGAACACCATGCGGTCTTCGAAGTCCTTGAAAAGATCTTGTGCTTGTCCGAAAAAGCTACTAGAAACATCAGTATACGTGTAGGTGGAAAAGGCCGATCCCAATGTCTGTAGGATTCTCTTCGTCGAACCACCCGTTCCAGCACCTGCCGAGTTGTTAGAGCCTTATTGATTGTAAGCAGTGGGATGCGCATACCAATTTCGAAAATATTCATGCGAGGATACCGATGGGCTATTTGGCCAACCATGCGTGCTATAGAGTCGTTGATCGGATTAAGACCGAAGCCATCCTCATAGATCCTATCCAACATCGAATCCTTCACCATGTGCTCAAGGATACTGGCCCCTGAGCGAACTGTCTCGGGAAGGTTGCTACCGACGGATTGCAAAAGGCGAACGGAGTTGTTGTCGTAATGCCTAGACATATTGATTAGAAAGTCCTTGGCATGTATGCCATCTGAGCAAACTTACTTGGCGATCAGTTTGTTGATAAAATCTTCTGTGTCATACTGAGCGCTTGCCGGGATGTACGGATTCTCCCCTTTGATAACCGGAGGTACCATGCGCGCTGCGTAGTTGAGAAGATGACGGTAATGTGGCAGCGACCTGTCCACATCCTCTTTGGTGACAAGCTCCAGAAGTCGACGGAGATAGTAGAAGGAAATTCGCTCCTCGTCAATACCCAGTTCAAAGTCGGCACGACTGTAAGCATCTGGCAACGCTGCAGCATCACCATCGGGGCTTGCGAGTTTGTAGTCAAACCTCGAGAATAGAACCGCGTCGTTGCTCGGGACGGCGGGAGCCAGAGGAACAAGATCTGTCCCCTCCATCTGCAAAAATGCCTGATTGGACTCACCAGCGAACAGATGAACATCAGCAGAGATCTTAGCGCTCTTATCCTGCTTGCTAACGGTGAGGTATCGCAGCTCAGTCTGCTTCCCAATGCCAATAGGACTGAAATAAGGATTGACTAGCACCGAACGAATACCTGTAGGAAGGTGTAGACCCCACAGTCTCTCGTCACCAGGGCAGCAGAATGCGGCGAATCCAGTTTGTAGAGCCGTATCTAGCATGCCGGGATGAACGATAAGCTGATCTTCCCACTGCATGCCCGATTGATCCCTGATCGTTCCGACGGCATAATCGGCCTTGCGTCGGATGTTGGTGGTACCTCGGAAAGGCGGCGCATAGTTGTACCCAAGGCCAGACAGGAATTTGTAGAATCGCTCCGGGTCAAGCTCGTTGAGGTTCAGGTCGTCAATCTCTTGGCTGCTGAGAATCCCAGCCTCGGGCGTCGCGAATGTCACTTCCACCGTACCGTTGGCGCTGGCTATCATGGGCTTGCTTTCATGTGGCGCCCCCGAGAAGCACGAAAACTGAGCCGTAATGGCCTCCTTAGTGCGGCTGACAATATGAAGGTCAACCAAGGTCTCAACCTCAGGGCTGTCATCGCTGAAAACAAGGGCTCGGTGAATGCGAAGGTCTCGAACAGCGATTAGACCCATGTTTGAGCGCCCAACATAGTCACCGATAGCCTCAATGGCCATGCAAAGATAGCCAGTAGCAGGTAAAGTGATTTGATTTTCGATTTGATGGCCTGCCATCCAGGGAATCTCCCTTGGGCTCAGAATATTCCGCCATTGAGCGAGCTCAGAGGTCTCACGATCGTGACACCGCCTACCTAACAGAGGATGCGGTGTCCCCTGGGTATCCCGGTAGATTCCTGATACTCGGGACAAAGACATGAATTGCCTAGAGTGATCGAAAGGATACTTGGGTAGATTAGTCAAGAACTGTCGAGCTGTGGAGCTCTGCGAGATTGCCCTCTCATAGCTGACAAAGTCGACGGACCCTGGCCCCAGGTGAGTCCAGATAAATCCGAGAGCGTCGGAGTAGGCGTCGACATCATTACCGCCCCGTCTCAATACTCCAGAGTATGGAGGCCGCTCTCCACAAATGTCCTCGATTGTATCGAGACAAGGGGTCTTGAGCACAGGATGAGGCCCCACCTCAATCACTATATCAAACGGACCGCTCTCATCCCATGCGGTGGTGACGGCGGGAGCGAAAAGTACAGGATTCGCCATGTTGTCAATCCAGTATTGTGCTCCTAAGTGGTCGAGACCCATGACCCTGCCCTTGTACACACTAGAGTACCACTTGGTCCCAGTCGGAATGGGACTATCGGGTTGGAATTGTACCAGGGCTTCCCGATACGGCTCACAGCACGGCTTAACGTGCATTGAGTGATAGGCTGTGTCAACCTTTAGTTGACGGGCAAACTTACCTTCATCCTTGAATATCTCTATAGCCTCCATGATAGCATCTTCGTCACCTGACAGGGTAATACTGGATGGTGAGTTCTGGGCAGCAACTTGGATTCGTCCCTCGAAATCCTCGAGCTCGCAGAACTCGGTCGCGTCCTCAAAGGTCGTGCCCACAGCCATCACTAGAGTTCGTCAGCTTCTTAACATCGTTCCTCTGGAATTAAGGCCGTGAAATACTTACTAGAACCCTTACTACCGTTGGGGGACTTGGCCAAGTGGGCGTAAAGCCCTCTGTAGTACGCAGCTCGAATGGCATCACGGCCAGAGAGAAGGCCAGCAGCGTATGCGGCTCCGATTTCACCTATTCCAATGAGCCCCCTGGTCGTGAGCAATCCATGTGTGTTGGTCTATACATACCAGACGAGTGCCCAACGACCGTGTGCAGGTTGACACCAGCAAACCTGAGTAGATCGACAAGTACGATCTGGACTGCAGTGCAGACCGGCTGCGAAACCGCCGCCTCGTTCATCCTCGAAACCTCTGGGTCAGCAAGAATTAATTCTTGAAGAGTCCATTGCGGACGTTGGCTTGCAGGCGCCTCGGCCAATGCTCTGTCAAGCTCCGACAATCGCTGGGTCACAAACGGGGATTTGTGGATCAGTTGAGCTCCCATTTTTGCCCATTGAGAACCCTGACCAGTGAAGACACCCAAGACTTTTGGAGACGACTTTGCAAGCTGTCTCGTACCGATGGTACTGTCAACCTTGCTATCAACGATGTCACTTATCTGTTCGCATAAGCTTTCTCTGGTCGACGCCGTAATAGCAACTCGATACGGTAGAGTTGATGTTCGTGATTGCAAGCTGTATGCCAGGTCACTTAGATCCACAGGCTGATTCAATTGCAGGTAGGCAAGATAGGACGAAAGCAACGCCCGTAAGGAGGACTCAGAAGCCGCCGAGAAAATGAAAGGGCTGAAAAGAAGTGCTGAGCTGCACTTAGTCTGCTCCTGCTCTGGTTCGCTATTGGGCGCCTCGTATGCCTCAAGGATGGCATGGGCGTTAGTGCCACCAAATCCTGTTGAGTTTGTTAAGATGAATTCACTTCATGATATTAAGGATTCAATACATACCAAAGCTGTTAATGCTCGCCCGTCGGGGCTGTCCTGTGTGTGTGTCCGGCCAAGGGATACACTTCGTGGGAACCTCCAAGTGGTGGTAGTAAGGTTCCAGCCTTGGGTTTAGCGTCTGGAAATGCATATTGGGGGGTATAAGCTTGTTCTGAAGGGCCAAGGAGGTACCAATAAGACTAGCCAGGCCAGCTGTGCCTTCAGTGTGCCCTATGACCGTCTTGATAGAGCCAACATAGAGCTTGTCGTCAAAATTGTCGTGTGGATAGAATGCCTCCGAGATTGCCTGGGCTTCCTGAGGATCGCCAGCAGCCGTCCCAGTCCCGTGGGCATGGAAAAATTGCGGTCGGTCCTCAATCTTGCTAATGTCAAGGCCGGCCCGAAGATAGGTGTTCCGTATTAAAGCAGCCTGTGCTCTTCCGCTTGGCATAGTAAGTCCCGGAGTTCGGCCATCTTGGTTAACACCAGTGCCTCGAATGATGCACTCGATATGATCATTGTCACGAATTGCCGCGCTGAGCGGTTTCAGAACCACGGCTGCAATTCCCTCACCACGGGCATATCCATCAACGTCTTTATCCCACATTCGTGACCTGCCTTCAGGAGAGAGCATAGAAAGCTTGCTCTCGGCCACATACATAGCTGCAAGTCAAGGCCGTTAATGCTTGCTGAATTTTTATAGTAGCCACGGTCATAGTAATCACATACCTGGACTGAGGATCAAGTTGGCTCCTGCGGCGATAGCAACATTGGATTCGCCACTTTGAAGGGTCTGGATAGCTTGGTGGACGGCAACAAGACTTGACGAGCAAGCCGTGTCAATCGTCATACACGGACCATGCCAGTCAAAGTAATACGAGATCCGGTTCGACATAATACTGCGCGCCGTTCCTGTGGCTCCGTACTGGGGGTAGCTTTCCATGTCTCTTGACACCATGCCATCCCAGTCACCGCACATAACACCGACAAAAACAGAGGTGGGCGAGCCGCGGAGCCCCTCAACAGTCTGTCCCGCGGCACAGAGCGAGTCATAGACGGTTTCCATAAGCATCCTCTGCTGAGGATCAATAGCCTCCGCCTCGCCTGCCGGAATATTGAAGAACCCGTTATCGAAGGCGGCTGGGTCTTCTTCGAGAAAATATGAATGACGGACATTAGACGTCCCGTGATGCTTCCCATCTTGATGGTAAAATGCATCCGCATTGAATCTGTCTTGGGGAACTTTGCGGAGGAGGTCTCGTGGTTGTTTCAGAAGCTCCCAGAGCTTTGAAGGGGTATCGGACTCCCCAGGGAACCGGCACGCGCTGCCGATGAGGGCGATGGGTTCAGTGTTTGTCATGTTGTACAGAAGATCGAGTTCCACGCGGAAAGAAAGAAAAGAGGTCAATCTGCGCAAGGACTCAATCCAGGGCAGTACTCAAGGTATTAATGCCAGCACCTCGCACATGGGGTTTATGAGCCGTTGATATCGAACTGCCGTTTGTATGCTCACAGTTACTTGACACGTCAGACGGAATAGGATTTTTGCGTCTGCTCCGGGTTTCTAGACCCATTGACTGCATAATCCGGAAATGCAATGTCACAATCGAAATCGTCTCAGCCTATTTTGCTACCGATTGTTCGGAGTTTCGCGGTTTCGATGTCAAACATGGTGAGACTCACGCCGACTTGACAAGGGAATGCATCCTTTCCGCCGCCAACAGGCGATCCGGCCCCCAAATACGTCATTTGAATCCTGCAGCTATCTGTAGACCGGATCAAGTCAATTTTGCGAGTGAGGTGATCGCGGATGATATTTGGTGTCGCTAACACTGATGCCGGAGATTCTCGGGGTTTTTCGGCCACACGGCTAATCCTCAGTGCGAAGCTATTCACAAAAAGCACAAATCACCCTGAATGAAACCACGACTATCGCCTACGAGATGATAAGCTTTTGAGACCAGTTTAGCAAGATGCCAGGCCTTCTGCAATCAGCGTTGGTAGGAACCACCGATGGACAGATTCGTCTCCGCGACGACAGCCCGGTCCCGGGGGTGAGTGGAAATACGGTTCTTATCAAAGTCAAGACGGTATCGATCAACCCCGTCGATTCCAAGATGGAGGGTGCCTACGTGACTGCCGGCGCTGTGGCAGGATGCGACGTTGCCGGTGTGGTCGAGCAAGTCGGTCCTGAAGTCCATGGGGTGAAAGTCGGCGATCGCGTTTCCACGTCCGTTATGGGAATGAACCCCCTCAAGCCGACCGTTGGTGCTTTTGCCGAATACACAACCGCTCATGATCGCCTTTTGTTAAAGCTTCCACCGTCCACCAGTTTTGAAGAAGGGGCCGCTCTCCCCACCAGTTTCCTGACAGCCGGCTTGGCCCTGTTCCAGAACCTCGGGCTCCCCGGTCATCCTTTCGAACCCAACAAGACACCAATCAGGGTGCTGGTGTACGGCGGTTCTTCCGCCACAGGCACTGCAGCAATCCAGCTGCTCAAGCTCGCCGGCTTCGAGGTCCTCACCACATGTTCCCCTCATAACTTCGACCTCGTCCGAGGATACGGCGCGGACACGGTGTTCGACTATAAGGCGCCCGACTGCGCCGCCGAGATCAAGAAACACACGCGCAACGGGCTCAAATATGTTCTGGACTGTATTTCCAATCTGTCCAGCATGCAATTTTGCTACCAGGCCATGGGCCGCTCCGGGGGCAAATACACGGCGCTGGAGCCTTACCCCGCGTCGATCGCCAAGACACGCACTGTCATCAAAGCCGACTGGATCTTAGCGTTACAGGTCCTCGGCCACGAAATTGCTTGGCCCGAACCGCACGGTCGCCCGGCCGACGACGCCATCACCGATTTCGGCACTGCTTGGACTGCGACCTTGAACGAGTTGCTGGCCAAGGGGCTGATCCGGTCCCATCCGCTTATTGTGCGGGAAGGAGGGCTTGGCAGAATCCTCGAAGGCATTCAAGATGTTCGATCGAAGAAGATCTCAGGGAAAAAGCTTGTGTATACTCTGTGAATCGCGATTCGGGCAGAATAGACTCGCTTCGTTCGCCAGGCGGGAGATGGTGTGTATTAGATAGGTGCTATTCGGTAAAACATAGTTAATGAATGAATACTCCGTCGCCAGCCTGGTGAAGTCTCTCATTCCGTTGTGAATCCCTGAACAGTGTGGTTCCCGCTTGCAAGTCGCGTTGCCGCTCGGCAGTCTCCTTCGCCTGGCGATAGACAGCCCATGCGTCAGTGTACGCATACAATTCCTTCACGCCAGGAACGTGGCTTGCACCGAAGAGATTGATAACAGCTGATGCGAGAATGTCTTCCGGTAAACTCATCAAAGACGAAGGTAGAAAATTGTTTGCGATGGGGGACGTGGAGAAGTAGAGTCGCGTCGACTAGTTTACTGTTTACTACGTGGTAATTCTGCCGCCCATGTCCGCCTGTAGCCCACGGCCGGGTAGATTGTCTCCGGCATAGGTACTCATTGCATATCATAAGACCCTCGGGGCAACGAAATCACTGAGTGTAAAGAGTCTGAAACACAATGATAGATTTACGAAGTAAGTCTAGGTCGCGGCAAGAGAGACACGATTCCGCGTGGACATTACTCAGAAAAACGTCGTCTTCTCACCCTGTGCCTTTGATTGCTCTATTCCTAGAACAAACTATCTTTTGAGCCCACTCAATTCCGATGTCCGAGCAGAAAACACTAATCCGAGTCCATGCCTTGATCAAGGGATTCGGAACGAGAACCCTACACATTGGAATTCGGGATGCAATCAAGCGTTTCCAAGGTCTTTGGTTGTATTCTAGGCACCAGGATATATCCTGTGTAAGTTCTGGTCTCGTCTACCCCTGGTTCTAATCCGTGTGGATACATCATTCGAGGCCTCCTCAACCACGAGCTCTCCACCGTCTTCAATGAGCCATCCTATCGGATACTCTTGAAAACTCAAGAGATAATTGTCAATAGCAGTCAGAGTTTGCACGATTACAGGGGTTGGATCGTAATCCAAAGCCTGCAGGGCTGATATCAAGCACTGTATTCAACATATTAGTATATCGCGGGTTCGGAAGGAAGGAAACACTGCCAGGTGATTTTATAATGATACAATCAATCATCTTGACTAAGTTTCGACGTCATAGAAGCAATTCTGCTCCCTTTTGGACAAGCAAAAATTGAGACACAGCTTACAACTTAGTTGAATCGACCTAATATCGCACCGTTTCTACCTGAAACCTCGAGTTATCATCTCTACTAAGATCAGCAGTGGCTATGCTGCCTCATTCGGGATGAAATACCTTTCCTCCTCTTCAGACCCAGGTAACCCACCTCAGTTGCATAGCAAATGTTTTGAACCCCAACGTCATAGTAGCAATATATCCTATGAGCAAGATTGTACTGTGCATCCCGTGGTGATCGAAGCCTGCTCTGTCTTTGCACCATCTATCATCCTTCTTACCGAAGGTGCGAGCAGCTCGTTACGAGACGCAAAATCAAACCCGAACATGATCGGGCCGGACAGGCACCTCAGCTGTCTGAGAAGCCTTGATCGTCGATTTATCCAGATGTAATGGTGTTTTTACAGTAGCATTTTAGTTGAATATGAGTGTGCTCTTCCATGAGATCTCTCGCTGCATTGGAGATAGTCTACAAGCAATCAGTTCGAGAAGACTCGATTCAGAATTAGCACGGGTTTAATGTAATCCTCTTCTCGCTAAACCCTCAAAACCTCGACTCAGGGCGGGGTTCAAACTCAATGCTCTTTATCATTTGTCGAACAACTTCGGGTCTTGTGCAAAGATCTTGATACAGACCCACCTATTCCCGAGGACCAAATTGCTTGACGGAATGAGGTGGGTCTACTCTGTCGACCAGGGTATGGCGTAGTTGTTTGTGCTCACTTGGAGTGTTAAGCATTCGTGGACATGAAGAGGCATTATAAGAAGGGACCTGACTGCGAGGGCTTCAACTCTCATCCAAAGCCTTTAGACCTTTGGCCGAGATTAGATTCTACCCATCAAAAGCCCATTCCTCTCTTCCACGGCAATATGATTATATCATGCCGCTGCACACCAAAGGTGCGTTGGAGGGGTACCGGCGAATCAGCTCGCGGGAGAAGTGGCTTCGCATCGACGACACACAGGAGTGAAACGATATATACAATCCCCTGTGGGAAGAAGGTGCGCTCCAGTTCTTGGACTACTATCTGAAGGCGAGTCAGAATGGCTGGAACATGACCCCCCGGGTACGTGTGGCCATCACCGACACGGGGGGCTCCAATCGCCGAGCCAAACTCAATGAATGGCCCATTGAACAGACAGAACACGTTAAGGTCTACCTCGACGCGGACCGGCACACCCTTTCACGCAACGGCAGTTCATGCCAGGCCAAGACAACCTACCGTGGCAGCACCGGCAAGACCACGTTCGTCACCACCTTTGCCGAAGATACGCAACTGCTCGGGTACTTCTCAGGGCATATATTCATGGAAGCCGACGGCGCCGACGACATGGACCTGTTCTTGACCCTCGAAAAGCTTGACCGAGACGGAAATCTCCTGACGCCTCTGCTAGCGTGCACCGTCGATCTCGAAAGCCAGTGCATCTCCGCAGCTGGGTCGACTCGGGGCACCCAGGCTTGTCTTCGAGTATCCCTTCGCGTCGTCGGCCGCCAGGAGTCGACAAGCTTCTTCCCAGTCCAGACCTATGGGTCTCCGCAGAAACTGGCCGCGGGCCAGATGGTTCCTATTGATGGGGCCTTTATTCCTAGCGCGTATTACTTTCACGCCGGACAGAAGTTGCGCTTGGTAATCTCGGGTCAGTCCGACAGCGGGGTCTCTGCCATTAATATGGATCCCACATAGTGCATACCGGAGGAAACTACCAATGCTATATTCAAATCCCTGTTGATCCTCACTGAATCTGGGTTGCGGTGATTGTAGGTCCGGGCAAATTGCTTGTAGAACAGATACTAGTACAGCCATGTGACTGTTAGCAAGGAGACTAGTCCAAGAAATCAACAGCTCAAGTATTGTATGATGGGACGTATGCTAAGAAATCGAGCCCATGCAGTGATCTATACAGGTTGCTGCGAGACGACTCAAATTAGAGAAGGCGCTATACCTAAGCAGGGACGCTATACTACTCCAGGTAATTCGTCGCGGCCTGGGCCCCCGGGCCTTTCCGTACCGTGCCCCCGCGGAATAAACTAAGAAAACGTGGGCTGATTTGAGGCTCCGCGGACGAACACTTTCTATGCGGAGATTTTCGGCCTTTCTCGGGCCTAGTACTTCCAGTGGGTATATGCAAGGCTATCAATTGACGAAGGCCCCGAATGGTTTTCCTACTCCTGGGATCGGCGTGAATCTGGTCCAGGCCGCCTTGGGTGCTTCCAGACAATGCGCCAAGCATCTCTGGCCGGGACGCGGCACCTATACCCCATATAAGGACTATGTTATCGCTTACTGCACCTTGATGACAGAACACCAAACAAACCATCATAAGCTGTGCGCAAGTGAGATTAAGTACCCTCGCCCCGACCACATGAGAGCAGACGACTGACATGTCCAGGTAGCCATCTCCACCATGCCCTTCCCGCAGAGTAGGTTTCCGGAGGCGGAAACGCCCATCCACGGATACCTGTACACGATGGTCGAGCTAGGCGTCCTGCGGTTCTTTGTCGAGTACCGCGTCTTCGATGCGATCCCCGAATCCGGGATCTCTATTGCCGCACTGGCGTCCGAAACGGGCGTCGACTGCGCATTGCTGACACGGCAGATCAACTTCCTCGTTGCAGCCGAGGTCTTAAAGGCGGCAGCAACGCCGGGGCAGATCGAACATACCTCGCTGTCCAAGACGTTTCAGGGGCCCATGGCCACTTTGTTCTACCCGCATACGTTTGACTACTTCATGGCCACCGCGGTGAAGTGGCCGGAGTATTTCCGGCAGCACGGACCGCAGGAGCCGCGAAAGTCCAATCAGGCCCCCTTTGGCTTTGCCATGGGCTACCCAGACAAAACCTTCTATGAAGTGCTGGAGCTGCTGCCGGAGCAGCGCGCGAAGTCGTTCAATGACGCCATGGCGCTGTCCTTGGACGACATGCCCATCACTGGGGTCTATGACTTCAGGTGGGTGGGCGAGAGCGCGAGCGCGCAGGTCGGGAGACCGTGCATCGTCGACGTTGGTGGTGGCAAGGGGCAGGCCTTGAGGGCGATTCTCGAGGAGACCCCGGCCATTCCTGCGTCGTCCTGCTTCATCGAGGACCAAGCGGAAATGATTCGACAGGGTGGGGAGGAAGCGAATGGTGTTCTGGTATCTGTTCAGAGGGTTACACATAGCTTTTTTGATGAACAGCCCGTCAAAGGTACTGTTGCTAGGGCTTTCGCCCATTGCCTCCCCTTTGGTGAAAATGGCTAAGATAAACTCTGCCACAGGTGCTTTGGTTTACTTCATCCGGCGAGTGTTGAATGATTGGGGGGACGACGATTGTGTTCAGATCCTCAAGAGCATCCGCCAGGCTTGTGCACCAGACTCGAGGATACTGATATCTGAAAATCTACTACCCGATGAGCCTTCGCTCGGCGTTGCCGGGATTGACTTGTGGATGATGAATTTTGGCGGCAAGAGGCGTAACGAAAAGATGTTTGGGGACTTAGCGTCCCAGGCGGGATTGAGAGTTTCTGCGGTTGCCAAGCATGACGCTACAAGTATGGGAGTGGTTGAGATGGTGCCTGTATAAACCTTGATAGAAATAGTGGATATGATTCTCGGGAGAATTCGACGAGTCGGTTTGACTGAGCTCTGTGATTCTTAAGCAACAACAGTCCAAAGGGTACACAAACGAGAACCATGGCCAGTTGGCAAGGGTAAAAATGAACAGCGATGCGGCATTCGTAGACCGACCGAGAAAGACACGGGTTCCGCAGAGTTTGCAATGCAAGAGCCCTACCAATTCATCACTTCACGGTCATCCCAGTAAATCTATTAATGTACAAATTGAACCGTAATATAAACAGTCTTCAATGAAAGTAAAACGTGAAGAAACTTTCTGACCAAAATTCTAACCCCTTCCATTCTACCGCAGCTTAACGGTCATGTGACACACCTGTCACGAGAAAGAAAGTAGTATCATGTCGGTGAAGAAGAATGGAATTATCGAATGGAAAGCGAATAACAACAGGTGAGAATCAGAAGTAAGAAGTGAAAAGAGACGAAAGGTATTCCGTGGTTATTTTTCTTGCTGGACAGCCGCTCAAATTGTCAACACGGCTTATATGACGGACAGTGATCTCACGCGCCGACTGTCTTATCGGTATCGTCGGTTTTCTGGCTCGGTGGATAGGGCTCGGCGGCATTTGATTCCTTGAGTTTCTTCTCTTCTTCACCCGCCTTTGGTTGTTGTTTGACCTGCTCGTGCATCTTGCGGATGAACACATCAGACTCAGCCGCAAACTTGCACCTCTTTCGAATAGCTGCTCCGTACTTGTAGAACAAGAATGGAAACGGGACACATGCCAGGGCCAAGAATGCCGGAATAGAGGAGGCCCAGTGAATGCCCAGCGCCTGATACATATAGGTCGTAAACAGGGGAAAGACCGCCCCGAAGACAGACCGCAGAACTGAATTGGCCGCCAGCACTGAGGCCGCATAGATGGTATATGCGTCAATCAGGTAGTTGTTGACTGCCAAAAAGACAAGAACCATGCCAAAGCCAAAGGGGACGCCTCCTGCTATGCATGCCATGAAATGGATTGACGGATAGTTTGTCCAGGCAAACCAAAATAAGCCGATCGGGATTGTGATGGATGCCAGTATACAGGGCGGCAATCGTGCCTCCGGAGATGCAACACCGCCGTTCCTCTGCTGGTTTTTGACATACCGCATGTTGTTGTCGAAGATGGTGTACACGACGGCGATCAGCATCCCGACCATAATGCCGAGGAACGGCAGCGCCCCCACGCCCCGATTCCACCCACGAACCTGCTGGAACACAATTGGGTATGCGGCAAACAGCATGAACAGTGTTCCATACAGGATAGCTATGTATAACGATAGCAAAAAAACAATCGGTTCACGAAATAGGAGGAGCCACGGGCGTGATAAGGCGATCTTGAATGACTTCTTAAGATCGACCTTTCCCTGATCAATTTCGGCTTTGCTGCGATATATCTTCCCCGTGATTGTTGAAAGCTTAGCCGCGCGACGGCGCAGGAGCACAGGAGCGTATGTCTCGGGGATGAGCAGGGTACCTAGAATCCAGACAAACCCAGAGAAAGCCCCTAGGAGGCCCATCACCCATCGCCAGCCTGCGGCCATGCCCAGGAACCCTCCGACAATCGGGCCGATGACAGGGCCTGTTTTAACCAGTCAGCCACAATCACGTCTGTGTACCGCCAACCAGGGGGCGTGGTGAGACGGCCGAACATACCTAGAAATGGTGCCGCCGCAAACATACTCATTGCGAGGGCTCGTTCCTTCGCTGGGAACATGTCCGCAATCACGCCCCCTGCGTTGGTCAACGGCGATGATCCAAATGCACCGGCAAAGAATCGCAGGATTATGAGAGTCCAGCTATTCTGAGCGCCCGCGGCGCCCGAGCTGAATGCGGTCAAGGCACAGTATGTGGTGGTAAAGAGAAGCTGCCGACCGAAGAGTTCACTGAGCGGTGCCCAGAACAGAGGCCCTGTAATTTGAGCTCGTTAGACCGCATTCAATATAGCATTCAAGCTTTTGGCGTCTCTCTCACCTATAGCAAAGCCCAGAACGAACAGCGAAACGCCCAGCGTCGCTACCTCGGTGCCGATGTGGAATTCTTCTTTGATTTGTGCGACACCACCGGTATAGGCAGAAGACTCCAGCGATACCGCCAGGGTGGCCAGAGCTACCAGCATCGTGATGGACCATTTCGTCCACTGGGTGAAAAGCATGGGATTGCGAGGATCATTGGGGATCCAGTTCACCACATACGGGTCTTCCTCTGTGCCCGCTCCCGAGTAGGGATAGTCGATAATCTCCTGGGTCACCACATCCTGCTGGGTCACCAGCCGCCAATAGGGGATCTGGGTGATGCGAGGAGGCTCTTCTCTGTCAGCCATTTGCGGGGGTCGATGGATGCAGGCAGCTATGCGTTTTGTTTGATAGCCTGATGCGACACAATTGACTCGACCGAGTGATAAGTACGAACAGTAGAGGCGTTCTATAGCCGAAAGAGCTTTAAGTAAGATTCCTCCATCATTGCTAAACGGATCAACAGTCTCCCATTTTATTTGACCTGGGATTGCTGATGATTGCCTTCGGGGCTGCTCTCGGACGGTTGTTCGGACGGTTGCTCGGACGGTCGCTCGGAAGATCATGTGCCATGGCCGAGATCAGCAAAGCAAGCATGACGCCACTGTCTGAGCAAAGAAGGTGGGATGGATGATGGCGTGAAGTCTAAAGAGCGGAGCTTTGTCCAAGAAGACTCAAGCCAAGTCAAGTTGGATTCTCGACTGACTTGGAGAGTGAGTTCATGATCACTGGTGAAGCAATGCAATCAGAAGGGAGCTTTGAAGTCCACGGTGACATGACGGTGGTTGAGTTCGGTCGGTGCACGTGACGTGGATATCGCGCGACTTCCTTTAAGAGTAAGCACTACTCAACTACATGTTATTCGTCTCGTCCCCCTCAAACTATCCCAGAACAACGTCCCTATTATACGCTATCTTGCCCCATCATCCACTGACTGAATTCTCTCTTCTGCGTTCAAGCTGTTGAAAAGCGATGTTCTCCGACTTCCTGGCGCAACAACGCAGGCGCAGAGAAAAGTTGCAGCTGTCGTGTAATCCATGTCGCAAACGAAAGTATTAGCGAGTCCACGCGAGTAATACCGAGCCGGTGACTGAATGGGCTAACTCCTGCTCTGATAGAGTAAAATGTGACAGGAAGAAGCCATGCAACAACTGTGTGCGCCGCGGCGAACATGCCAACTGCATCTATGCAGCCCACCCCCCGGCTGCCGGTCATCGCCGATCGGATCTCAATCGGCTCAATTTGCCTGGCGCCTTGGCCCATGATAATGACATTACCTCGCCTTCTGACACAGCTTCCATCGGCTGCATCCATGTTAATGGGAATGAAACACATTATGTCGGAGGCGAGCATTGGGCGGTGATTGCTGACAATGTAAGGGCCCGCCACACTTCCTCTGCAAGATTGAATACTTATCGTCTTCGGTTGTCATCAGTTACCTGGTGGCCAGCAAGCAAGCGAAGAGCAATCGTCCCCATGGCCTGACCTCCTTCTCGGATTGCGCGAGTGCTCCACGACCAGAGATCTGTTAGCGTCCGTTCCACCCAAAGCTGAAGTCGATAGGTTAATCTCAAGGTACTTCAACTCATTAGATTTGGCGGCATGTATGTGTCTACTATGTCCCTACCAGCACAGGGTGGGTGCAAATCACCAAGAGCTAACGCAAAGCGCCACATACGGCAGGGATCAGCCACGGCCCCACGTTTCAGGAAGACGTATGTCAAATTATCCTCCCTGTTGATCGTTGCCCCGTCACTGATTCTGTGCTGGAGCAGTATGAGCGGTTCTGGAACGGTCCAACTACAGTCAGTCTAAACTGGCTCAGCATCCTGTTCAGTATGATGTGCTTGGCCACCGATATCCTGCTACAGTCCGGCGAAATGCTGCCCTCGAACGGGGCGAGCGCGCAAGAATCCGTCATCTTGTTTCGCAAAAGTAGTGCGCAATGTCTGATTTTAGGCGACTATACCAAGCCAACAGCGTACACGGTGGATGCACTTCTATTGTATTTCTACTGCGAACTCTTACGATTTCAGGATACACATTTTGGATTGGATGTGGTCCTTGCGACAATTGTCCGAGTCGCAATGAGAATGGGCTATCACCGCGACCCCTCCCATTACCCAGCCATCTCAATTTTTGAAGGTGAAATGAGACGGCGGGTATGGGCCCTTCTTATTCAGCTCGACATTCTCGTGTCGCTTCAGTTTGGGCTCCCAAGAATGATCAACGAGCGGGATTCCGACACCCGGGCACCGCGCAACATCCCCACCGAGGAGATGTCTCCAGATATGACCGCACTGCCGCCATCGCGACCAGAATCCGGCGCTGCAGTCTCATCTTACATGCGATCACGGACGACGTTAGTCTCGATTCTGGGGTTGATCCATAGCCATGTCACGTCGGTGCACCCACTGTCGTACGAGACGGTAATCCAGCTCCATGAGATGTTGAATGAGCAACACGAGGCCCTCCCGATCGGCCTGAAGGTGCGCGAATGCGCACCAGTGACAGACTCGGCCGCGGTGGTGATGAGGCGTCTATCATTGGACCTGTTGTTTCAAAAGTCTCGCTGCGTGCTGCATCGGCGGTATATGAGACCCCAAAATCGCCTGTCATGGGAGACCTGCATTGACGCTGCACTTATGATCATTCGTCATCAGTCGTACGTATATCGTGAAACCCAGTCTGGCGGATTGTTGAGTGGCCATCTGTGGAAGATCACATATTTAGCGACGTATGACTTCCTCCTCGCCAGTATGCTTCTCTGTCTCGGGCTTCACTGGGGAGTCAATGCAGAGTCAGACGGGGTGCCAGCCATAGGTCTGCACTCAAACGGAGGACGATACTCCGCCCTACTCAGCGCTTTGGAAGATTCATACACTATCTGGGCGGAGTGGTGCACTGATAGAAACGGGTCTAAGCGAGTACTGGAGATTGTGAAACTTATGCTAGACCGAGTGAAAAGGGACGGTTCATTATCATCATTTGGGGAACACTCCAAGCAAAGCACCGCCACTGCCAAGCAAGGGAGTGGCTTGGGTATGTTACTGTCTCGTGGGAACTTACGAAATTGATTAACACTTTAGCATTGTAGGACTCCAAGCGGCTTCCGGCGATGGTGCATTCGCCCTTGCAGCAGTACCTGATGCAACACAGGCGTCGAATACGCGATCTACACCTCCCTCGCTACAGGGTAACATTGCCGAAACATCCTTTGTATCTCCTGGTTTACTCGACCCCTTGGATGGATTTGATTGGGTAAGCTTATACCCGTTTTCCCCGAGCACGTGGGCAATTAGATGCTCCTGCATTGCCAGCTTGTTGCAGAGGCTGATTTGGTCTATTCATAAAAGGCGTCGTGGGACAGCCACCTGCAGGAAAATGGAATTTACTCGCAACTTTCCTCGAGCGATCGGGTGTTCTAGACCTTCTGCACTGATTTGCGTGAGGGGCCGCTCAGACGTGTAATTGTGCCGTGCAGATCCGCCGCAACCTATGCATTCCGTACCAGGTCGATCCGAGTACGGCCGCACAGGAGAGGAGAACAACGACTGCAAAAGCATGTGGACTATCCTCAAAATAGTTTACCAAGTTCATGCCATACCAGCCCGCGACGAGAGTGGCCCCCGCTAACGCCAACATCAGTATCTCGAGTCGAGCTTCCAACACCATGATCTGATTTCGTCGCACACTCAGCGTGTACCGAATTGTGTCTTCGGTGCGTTGGAGATGGCTCATCAAGCTCGCCGCATCCTGTCCGATGGCGTCGCTGGCCTTGAAGTATGCCTCGAAAAGATATTCGACACCCTGGTGATCCTGCACCTTATGTGGCTTCCCCGCCTGCTTATCGGTCAAATGCATGTTGGCCATGTCTTTATCTTCATTCAATACCTCCTGCGCCATGTTGCGCACCTGGAGTGCTCGTTGTTCAATCCCGACGAGTTTCCGCTTCAGTTCCAGGATTGTGCGTAGATGCAAATGGGTGACACGTTCTTCTCCATTCAGCGTGCTCGAATCAGTAATCCGGAGAGTCTGGGAGACTTCTTGCTCGGTCAGCAAACACTCTGCTTCTAAGACCGACGTGACGGCCGACAAAGCTGCCTCCAACACGCATAGCTCGTAAGGCTGCCGTTCCGCCTTGCCTGGCTGTTGGCCGTCTCGTAGCTTTTCCTTCATAACGTGGCTGAACACGCGCGACACACGATTCTTGTCGCTGCCCTGGGCGTGGTCGAGACTTGGCGGCACGTGGGCGACATGGAAGAGTCGCGCATGGTCGTGCTGCACAAGAACGCGCAGGTCTAATAGGTGAAGAAGCAGAGTAGATTCTCGAACAAGGATATATGGTACTCCGCTCGATGGCTGATCGAAAACGCGCAAGTCGCGAGTGCTCAAGCCGTACCGATCCGCGACGGCGAGTTTGGTCATATGACCGACCGGGGATGCTGTGCCATGATTCTGAAAGTGGGTGTACTGCATGACCGCATTGCCGTTCAGCGGTCGCTGCGAAAGCGACAGAGCGAGGTCGAAAAGACTTTTATTTTGAGTCGCGTCTGGCTTGCAGTCCGTTGTTTGCGGAGCCGTATGGATTGCTTGTGATGGTCCCCTCGGGAAGGGCAGAGCGACGCTCACAGCAGCTCCTGTGACACACCGTGAGAGGATTGTGGCCCCGCTCCTGCTTCGGGTGGGAAAGAGAAACATGATGACGTCGAGCGTCTTTCGATATTGGATCCTGGTGCGAGAAAGCCAATGGAAGAGGGGTAGAGGAACAGGTGATGATTATAACAATTAGCAATATTTCATTGCTGCTGCTGCCTGCGTCATACCGGGCTCAGTCGGAAGGAGAGCCGAGGGGGGCCTCACCTCTTGCTCTTGGGGGGGGATTTCAAGCTAGTCTGCCTAGAAGGTCTCGGAGATGACAGGCTCGGACGGTCGGGGACGGAACTGGGATCCTGAAAGCGGCCACAACAGCACACCTGGCACAACACACAGTGAGATAGATGTTCGTCAGGCCTTCCAGCCATTGTCACAAGGCACTCGTTTGTTCAGTGCAGTGAACTGGAACACCCTTATCAGCACTTATTTTTGGTAGTCGAACACTCACACACAATCTCTTTAGCTCTCCGTCTCCAAGGTGAGAACCTATGGGTCGCCAAAGTTGACGCCTTACCAGAGAGACTGAGGGTGGTTCCACTTCCCTGGACTTTTGCAGCAAAGGATCTCTTCAACAGCGGGGGTCCTCCCGGAATTTATTGCCTGAGGAGTTGGCACACAGACGAATTAATAACTCGAATCCTTCACAGTGCTCCTCAGCTGGTGACGAGTGGTGCAGCCCTACCGACAAGTTCCTTCACGGCCGGCTCACGTCAGCCATGCGACGCTTCGCCAAGTAATCCTGGGGCAAAGGAATCTCTCCCATGTTGATCTTCTCCAAGGTCTTGGAGTCCTCTGCCTTCCTTCGACTCTGATTAGTACTCTCTTAGATTTGCAGAATATAAGCACGGTAAGCTATATAAAAGCCAAGCTGATCCGGCGACAGGGAATCCAGGCAGCAAGTAAAAAGACCTCAGCTCCACCCAAACAATGACATTCTCCGCGACACAACAAAAACAACAGCAGCAGTCTTTTCGATCCGCTTGCGATCGCTGCCGTACCAAAAAGCTCGGTTGCACGATCTCCGCCGTGGAGACGTCTCGGACCGGGTTTCCACAATGTGTGCGCTGCGTCCGAGCTAAACTCGATTGTGTCTACAGTCGCCGTGCACAGACACGGAGGCGAACCGGGGATGAGGGTGGAGTGACTGGGGGGGACAAACACTGCTGGGAACAACCGGATGTAGCCGCCCATCCGCAGCCACCACCCCTGGACATCTCGCTCGACTCGTCCGAGCAGCTCGCCGGCTTTCACATGGACTTCTCCATGCTGAGCTCCGGAGCACATGATGGCTCTGGGTTCAAGTTATTGAACACAATGGACACGAGCGACCATGCTGCCTGTACCGGTGTCAACTCCCTTCTGGATGAGGATATATTTGCACGGTCGCTCTCGTCACAGGATTTTCTCATGGACATGTCATCGTCTTTCCCCATGGCCGAAAACGCCTGCGAGCCCACACCCTCGCTGCCCTTGTTCTCCGGACCCTACAGTGCCGCCGGGAGTACTTCGTCAACGGCGGAGAAACGAGATTATCCTTCTTTCCTCTTTGCTCAATTGTCGCGACTCGTGGCGGACATTCATGAGACAACATTCATGCTGGACGGCGTCGTCGACGAGGATCTCGACACGAACGCCGTGGGCTCGATTCTAAAATTGACCCGCAGATTCACGGCCGTGCTCCATGATTCAGGGTGGGCCTCCAAATCATCCACCGACCCGCCTCGACACCAACGATTTCCCTCCACATCATCCTCTTCCCCACCCACGCTTTTGCCAGGGACCCCGGTCCATGCGGGCTTTCGCAACAACAGAACCGCGGGCCCGTCGCCCATCAGCCTCGACCAGAAGAAATCGATCTCGTTCGACATTCCCGATGTGTCCACCGATCTGCAGATGCTGACCTGTTACGCCTCCCTGACGAAGCTCTACATGACGGTACTGGACCAAATTCACAACCGCCTCGACCCAATGCCCGAGTCCACCGCCTTTGACCACCACAGAGCAGGTCCTCCCGGGGAGCCCTTCCCCCTTACCAATGAGACTTACAGCAAGCTCTATGGCGTAGTGCAGATTCTCCTCGACGAGTTTCAAGTCGTGGAGGACCTCCTCGGGTCCTCCGATCCGGCCGAGGGAGAAAATCACACTAAGCAGGGGAACGAAGGACCTCCGCCGGTGGGATTCAGCCTGGAGGCAGGAGGTCCCCAGACACCTCCTCCCACGAATCTATATCCAGGTGCCTCGTCATGGCTTCTTCATCAAGTGAGACTTGTCCGGGCAGCGTTGAATCAAGACGCAAGTCGTAACTTTGCCCTCCACCCCGGTCAGGATTCGGATGGGAGTCCAAACGGCGTGCTACAGCAGGGCCACGATCTCAAGGCATTCCTGCGCCGACGGATGGAGCTTTAAGAAATGTATTCACAAAGAGTAACGATTTTTCCTACGACAGATGTACATACAAGATAGATAGAGTAGATCATGTGAGCATGAACTGGATTTGTAAAGGATTCGAGATTAGTCGTGTAGCTGCCTCAGGCCATCTTTGAGAGCGATGAACCTGTCGACTGACTGCAGGTAACGTTCGCCTATGTACTGTACATAAAAAGGCGGAAGCCTGTGGAATATACAAGCATGTGGACATACTATTGAGGATATCTAGAGTCATTTAAGAATTTTCTTTTTCTCGGCGTTTCGAACCACAAGGCTGCGGCGGGGGTGGGCGACCAGCCCCACTGGTTGATCGGATGATACGATCATCGAAATAAGATCAGGTTGTGTCAGCCCGAACCTTATCCTGGTTACGTGAGAGATTAATACGTCTGCTATAAGCTTGTGCATGGATGCGACTAACTCAAACACCCGGATTGACACGATTTGGAAGTATAATGCAGGTGGATAGGTCATGAATTTGTACAATGGTAGCTATTCAGCGCTTGTACTTTACAGGATGGATATCCCTCGCATGAGAAAAGCATTTGTGTAATTCCTTGGAGAAATCGGGCAGCTGCTGGCGCCATATATAGGTGGCGAGAGTCAGCGGATGGGCTCTACAGTCTCGTCACGTCAGACAAAGTATATACACCGACTATGCAATCATGCTAAGCTGCAGTGCACCCTTCACTACATTTCTGAAATTCAAGATAAAAGCTATGCCATTCTCGATCTTGCCCACCCATCCAGAAAGAATCTGTATAATCATATCAACCAAGTCCTAGTCCCCCCCCCATTTCCACCACAAATACCATATCATGATACCATCAAACTACCCCCGGAACCAACAACCCCTCAACCGCACCAATATCCCCCCAAGCCCAAACGACACACCTCTTCCCCCCGCCGCCCAGCGTACTAAAATCCCACACCCCGCGCTCCACAAACCCAATCTTCACCAGCACGCGCCGACTCCGCGCATCGCCCACAGCACAGATCCCACACACCCCGCGTAACCCCATCTCCGCCCGCGCATACCGCACCAGCGCCCGCCCCACCTCACTCGCATACCCGCGCCCCGCCTCCCCCGGCAGCACGCAATACCCGATACTCGCCACCGCGTGGCCCTTCACCTCGTCGTCCAGGTACACGGCGCCGATGGGGACGCTCTCGGCTAATGTGGCGGTCGGGTGCGGTCGGCGCGAGACCAAGAAGTCGCCGTACCGGTGGCCCGAGGCGGCGTAGCGGGGCTGCAGCTGTGTGGTGAGGTAGGTTGTTGCGTCGGTTGGGGTGCGGATTCGTGGGCTGTGCCCGACGTAGTCTTCGAAGCCTGGGGTTGTAGTTGCTAGTTTGTGGAGGAAGGTGCTGTGCTGCGGGTCTTTGGGGTTGAAGAGGGAGATGTGCAGCCTTGGGGTGGAGGTTAGGATTGGGTTTGGGGGGGTTGTGGGCATTTTTGGGGGCTGGTTCATCAAATTTGGGGGTGAGTGCTGGGATTAGGATTAAGGTTCTTGGGTCGGTCGTTAGTGCTGGTGGTCAGGGTGGCGTTGAAGATTGTTTTCAAGGTGGTGTTGAAGGTTGTATTCAAGGTGGTAGAGGTGGGATTTAAGGTAGGCAAGTGAACGTTTTCATTGTGTGTGGATCACACAATGAGAACGAGAGATATGGTATACAATGGATATTGTATCGACAAAGAATTAGAGTTAAAACAACAGAAGTCTCATTGTCGGTCGATATCCTTTCAGTTTCCAGACTTCCAGCTGGGCACAGAACTAAACGACCTTGGTATGCCAACTGCTTCATTCACACATAAGCTCACTCTTTGGACAAAGGAATCCAGTAGTACTTTGACATCTTGCCATGTCTATCAAGCAACGAATATGGAACATTAGTATTATTTCGTGATGATATAGAAAAAGGGCGTACAAACCTGAAGGATCCGTAACCTAGTGGTTAGCTCGGATTCACTTGCACTTCATTTGTTATAACTTTTCCTACTAGGAGGTAGTTCTACACTGTTTCTTCTTGCGTACCACTCCCGTTTGATTGGTGATTCTGGCCATGTGTCCAATTCGGGCAATCTTTGTTTCTACTTTAGCATTAATTTGGCCGTTCCAGACCTCCCAGCTGCGTACTGTGTGGCGTGGAAGAGAGTGTAGATAGGTTTACGTACAGATTAAGGTAAAGAATGAACAAGAGAAATACGACAGAAGAACAGAGATCACGGTGCAAGTATACCAGTATAGTAGAGGAGTAGAAATTGTATCTATTTAACATGGGCGCAGCATCAAACTCGTGAGAGAATCGTGGCAGGTAACACTTTATTAGTTTGCAGTGTTCCCTGCCATACAGACAGTGACTACAGGCCGAAGAGATCCCAAAGTCCGTGCCCAGCTTGGCAGCCAGGAGTGCCATAGTAACCGCCGTTCATCCAGATAATGGTGTCAACGAACCACCACAGCTTGACCACGATTGCAGAGACGTTGGTAAGGACCAGCAGAGCCAACAACCATTGCTTCTCCGGCCCCGGACTCGTATGAACATTCAGGAACACCCAGAGAATGGGAGAGCCAATCATCGTCAAGAGTGGAAGTGTCTTGAGCGTAGCAAGCGCCCAATGATGAGCATACCAGTGATCTGCAGCCCCCCATCCCAGGAACATTGACAGCACCATGGCGGTACGCTCCTGACCCCAGCACTGGATGCACGGGTTAGTCATCGCTGGGTCGGCGCACGCGGCGACCTTCATGAGTGGGTACCATCCTGCCTTGCAGCGTTCCGTGGCCAGAGCAGCGAAGGTAAGCGTAAGCGCACCACCCCCGAGAAGCACGAGAGCGGCTTGAGCGGGGTGGCGGTAGCACCATGCCACCGGACGCTGGAGCTGAACCACGATTCCATTCATCTTCAAGCGAGAAATCCTGAGCTGCGGAAAGTCGTTCGATGAGCCACACTCAGTTCTCGGTAGAAGGGCAATTGGTGTTGCTATTGCTAATGAAGTAGTTTTACTCAGGGCTGCATAGCGCTTTTATATGTTAAATCCGGTCTGATTCCCTTGATTGCTATGCCGGAAATTCTTTCTAATCTCTGTACATTATTATTGTGTGGCCAAAACTATGTGTATGGGATATTAAACATTGAACGAGAACTGGGTCCGCAAAAGAGACAATCAACGATAAAATTGGCTGGCTCTTTGGCTGTGTCTCACCACCATTGACATATTCCCGCAGCCTTGATTAAGTATTCCGGATCATCTTCACCCTAACCAGAACTTCATCAGACTCTGTCTATAGCTCGGTTGCATATCCATACTCAAAGACCCGACTAAAAAAGTATTTCTTTGTCCGATCCTCCACTATTTGATAGTGCAATCCCCGTCAACTTTATCTTTACGTAGGCCGTTCAGCATGTAAAAGCTCAAATTCGGGCCTGAACCACCAAGAAGACAATACCTCTTTTCGGCAACCTCCGCTGGAGTATTTGCATCATGCTCTTCGCCATCTCCCTCCCCTCTAAGCTCCGCTACAACTACAAAACCCCCGCCGTATTCTGGATATTTGCTTCCAGCTTCACACTGCAATAAGAAGTCATATTCAATTGGGAAGCTAGCTGGTAATTTCAACCGAGCCAGAAGCGGTGACATCTGCCAACTAATGAGCAAAACCAGCGAGTCCTGACATTACATATACACCACACTCGCTGAAGAAGGTGAGAGTAGCTCAGTGGCGGGCGAAATGCGGAGACTTTCAAGGAAGAAGCCATTGTAACAAAGCATGAGCCAACTGCTATGAAAGAGGTGATTAAACGGTCTAGTTCAACCGCAGCAGCGCATTTCAAAGCGGCGCGAGCCCAATAACAACTTGCCATTGCCTAGTCGCTAATCCTCGAAGAGCACACTTTCATTCGCGCTCGTAGTACCGGATTCCACCCCTGATAGGGCACCCGGGATTGTTACAAACACCACCAGTTTACCGTGTGGGTTCCCCAGGTGAGACCCTTATTCGTCGTCGATATAGGGTGAAACACCGGCATCGGGAACTTGCGCACCCTATATGAACACCCGGACCTCCTAAAAGTGTTGATCAGTGCTAAGTTCAATAGTAAGTTGTTGAGTTGGTTCCCAAGTTCTTCCCCCAAGAGCCTGTTTCAGCTGAGTTCCGGACAAGCTGATTTCTAAGTCGATTAAGATCGACCGCTCGCCCGCTCAACGTATGGAGCGCCTGGATCCCCTTCAAGCGCTCCGTCCTGCATGAATTATTGAACGACCAAACTGGCCACTTTGAACCTGCCTCCAGCGCGAAATACTCGCTTTACTGGGTGGGCTCCGGATGAGGGCAACGGTCTTTGCACTCTTACCTGCGGAATCGCTGTGCAGATCCGGCCTGTTTGGGCCCGATACACGACGATGACTCTTTTGACAATGATGACGACGACTGCGATACCAGCTCCCCTTGCGACTTCGCCATCAGCTAGCTATGCCTGATGTTTTACATGGTGACTAGGACTGTCTGTTTGGCTACGCTGCCAAGACTACGTGGTTGGATTAAGCTTAGCGGGTCCGCGGATCATATCCGGTAACAACCGATTGTCCCTGTTACCTCAAATACAGTACCGAATCAAGCGCTTGGGTATACCATCGATGTAACGAATCCGCGTGACTTGGAAGTGTTTCCGATACAAGTCGCAGAGTAGAACTATAAATCACTTGTCAGTTTTTTTCCTGCAGTACTCTTCCAGTTATCCTACATAATTGAGTGAATCAGTTGCTCAATGCTGATTTTCTTCTGACATATGAACACTGCCAGGTTGTCTTTTTACACGGTTGCTCAACTGATTGCTTAAGATAAATGTATCCATGCAATATCTATTCATTTCTCTCATAGCGTCGACTTCAATGGTCATGAGAGTTGATTTGGCTTTAGTACAGGTGCAGTTGTAAATAGCCATAATCACAGCCAAATGGGAGGGTCATCGGAACCGGTACTGTTCCACAGGCAGTAGAAAGACAGTAGCCGTGCATGCAGGCTGGCGAAGACAGAACGGCATAATTGGCATTTTTTCCCGCAGCAGGGTAGCCCTGGATAAGCTACGGCTAGGCTACAGCCCGCTAAAGCATGGGGCTGAACCGGACCCTGACGCTAATGGATTGATTAAAGGAAGATGTTATAACTACCCCTGTATGGATATAACCACCCATGTTTAGGCCCATCTAGGTAGAATTAAACTGATGACTAGTCTAATCAAGACTTCGCTAACACAGTCAGTACCGTACCTCTGTATTGTCACGATTGTTATCTTTTTTGTCACCTGACGCCAGTCATTAAAACACCTGCCTGTCCCTCCCCTTTTGCCCTTGAATAACCTGGCATGCAGATTACACAGGCATTGCCTACTTAGCAAAACCCACAATCATTGGCTCACCATGGCATCTTACCGTCTTCTACCGCTGCTTTTTTTTTCGCCCACGCCTACTTCCCCGGCCCACTATGCGGATCTGGTGCTTTTTCTACTTATCTCGTTATCACTCGCAGAAGACGCCAAAGATGGACAGAAGCGGCGATAACCCGCTGCAAGGTCCGGGATTCAACGATGTACCACTGTATCATGAGCTTCCCAGAGGTGCTCGATTTGCGCATGGCATCGCCGACTGGCGACAGACCCCACAATTGACTATATGGGAACTAGGCATGCTCCAATTCATGTCCTGGGTCACCGAGCAGTCCGGTTGGGAAAACAAGTGCGAGGACCTAAAAAACGCTCGAGGAATGGTGCGTGAAAGCCAATTCGACGTTTGACCTGGATCGGGCCTGCTGGGAGTGGTGCCGGAAAGAATTGCGAGATCAAGCAGCTTACTTCAAACGGAATGGTTACGTCGTCGTCTTGAATGTAGATTCCCGAGTCGTCAAATCGCAAGTCGATGCCAGTCTTCCCGCCGAACTTCAGCAATCCATGGCACCCCTATTCTCATCATCGGAGCCATCAGCCTCTGGCGTTAGCGTGGCTGCGGGCGATAGTGGAAGAACACCGGGCGTGCCATCTTGCCAAAATTCAATAATAGCAAGCATAACACAGACCCACTTCCTCCTGAATCAGACCATCAGTACTATTCCGTGTCCCTGCAAGATCAATTTCCGAGTCTGCAGGTCATTATCCGAATTTCGAGCATTGAACTCAACCCGGAACAGCCTAAATACTCCGGAGCTTCCACCTTCAATGTGGCTGGCATACTCAATGAACACATTGTTGCCACAGCTATGTGCTACCTTGACGTGGACAACATCAGAGATGTGCGGTTGGAATTTGAGCAGGAGACGTATATTAACACAATATAGACTTCAATGTCGCGAAGTTCGACGTCATGGATCGGGTTTTTGGTGTTGATCCGGAGCCGGTCGATAAGACAGATCTACGTTCCCTGCAAACTCTGGGATCCATTCCTATCTCACAGCCGGGGCTGTTTGTCGCTTGGCCTAACACGATGCGGTTTAGAGACAAATCCTTCACCCTCCAAGATCCGCCGTCCACAAGATCCGTCCAGACCTGGCCGCCTCCGGTTCGTGACTCTCTGGCTGGTGGATCCTCATTATCGAATCTGCTCAACCCAGAATGTTCCTCCTCAGGACTCAGGCTGGCTAGATACAGGACTGAATAAGTCCACTGAGGATCGACAACGTAGAGGGCTCATGACGGGCGCAGAGGCAATTGAAACGGCGGAGCAGATGAGAAAGGAAAGACACTCTATTGCCCAAAAGTTTCAAGGTCGGGGCCATGAATGGCACTCATATGAGGAGGATTTCATGACCTTTTATTATGGCGATAGCTCAGATCAGGGAAGCTATACATCTTGTTACTCGATCCACTCCATGCAGGAGTTCGGTCATATTGTTTCAATTTAATGCAAGTTTTCTAAACATAATTAAATCCGCCCATGCTAAGTATGTGCTTTGTTCTCACGTCGCGTGTAGATAACTTCGCATCTTGCCCATAGACCCACCACCCACCCTCACGCCTCCATCAATATATGCCAGAATACATCATACCCAAGGCACAAGCTGCCTCAACAATTGGTAGCTTATCAGTTATCTGCCTGTTCCCGCGTCTGCGGGCCCGTTTATTCAGGGAGAAATGGCAGATAGAGCACCTCGTGCCACGATTGGGAAAAGCTAGTATGGTCTATTTGTGGTTGGTGGAATCACTCCTCAGAACGCTTTGCTAATCCTTCGACACAAACACGGCCTTAGAGAAGAAAAGAAGCACGATGATGCAACCTCATGCTGACTCGTATAGATGGTGGGTCAGATGACTATAATTGCTTTTTCCCTCACGAACAGAATCAGAAGCAGATCCCTGATCTCGCGCCCTTGGCTGATGTAGACCATATCTGGATAGCATCAAGAATTCTGCAGTCTGCACCACAAATCAGTTTGAGGCAATCCAGGTTTCCTGCAAACATAACCATGAATGATGCTGAGCTGCAGCTGCAAAGTAACGTGGCTTGCGTCGGTTGAATCAGCGCTAACCCTGGCTACAGCCACCCGTATGTACTGTAACCCCATGCGTCATAATGCATTGCATGCCGTCACTTGAGATAGACTTCCGCAAACGGATGGTTTGGCTAATCCTCGACAATTTTGGCTTAACGAGGTATTTAAATCGGACTCGAGTCCAGCCCACTGAAGAAATCATTCTCGTTCACTGCACTGTCTCTTTTCCTCCTAATTTCACCCACAAGCTAAAAGTTTATCTCAGCCAGCCCACCGACTCAGATTCGAAAAAAATGGCTAATCTAAATGAGCCTCGTGCGTGACCTGAACGGAATTTGACGCTGTCTTCTTGATCGATGGGCTGACTTGAGGGGTGGGAGGGGGATCAGTCCACTTCGAAAAGGAGTTTGGCGATTTTGCGGTATGTTGAACCGACTTGGCCCTCGGATAACGGGCATAGGAGAGACTGACAGATATTGAAAACGCCAAACAGAAGCTAGGGACACTCATCGTACGCGACATCTATTTCAACCTGTGTCACCTCAGAGGAATATCGCTAATGTGGCTCTCGCAAAGTAGATCAAGGGCACCGTAGACCGACAGAATGGAAACATTACCGGCGAGATTGGAGTGAAAGCCCTCGGGGTTTACAGATCCCTCCACCCCTTTGCCGGCAACCTCCACGACGGGGTGCATGGCAAATTCGCCACTGGGGTAGGCTACGGGGACAGTTCCTTTGTCATCAATATCAAGGATGGTGCCGTGGTAGCCCAGGCCAATATGTGGGAGAAGGGAACTCAAATGACCCTATTCAAGCTTGAGGAGCTAGGGCCTTCTTACAAAGGTATGCGTCAATTTTCTTGTTACTTTCGAACGTTGGGTTGGATATCTAACATACGAGGGTAAATCTAGGAAAGCTTCAGATGGGTGAATACTTCGATGAAGTTGGAACCACCGTGGAGTATGGGCTCAAATCACACCCCTTGAGTATGTGGTTTGACTTCATCCTGCCCCCTAGCGCTACTATGCAGATGGGACTGGATAAGAATCCTCTGCCGGTTGAGTTCATTGGCCCATTGTCTCTCAAAGATGGATATGGTACATATACCGCAACCCTATTGGAGACTGGGCTTGATATCCAAGTTTCAAATGGGGCAATGATCAAAGGCAAGGTATCCGACAAGGCATGGAAAGAGACCTTGGCTGGATCCCCGGACAAATGCATCAAAATAGAGGGCGGGTGTCGCCAACTGATGGGCTGAAACTTCTGTCACAATATGGCTGAGGAATTATGGAGGTAGTTGAATGCAATACAATTTCAGCTGCATAAAGTACCCTTCATCTTGCTATGTAAGGCTGCGTTGGCCGCGGAAAGTCACACCGCAGAGTATCTTTGTGTAGCCATCCTACAATTACGACCTGAGTAAGCTTAGATCTCTACCGTGTTTCCTAAACTCACGTCCTTTCTTCCTATTCATCCTAGTCTTCTGAGACAACTCTGAAACATCTCTGAGCGACCAAGATATATTGAAACCAAGTACTCATCTCAAATCCCGGCATTCGTTGGCCCTCGTAGTCTTGCTTACAAAAAAGCCCATGGCACATTCTTCGTCCTTACTGAACCATTTTTAAACCGAGCGTTGATGCCTTAAAACAACACATATCGTTCATCTAATATGGAAGTAGAACAACAGAAATCAAGGCTGTAACCAGTGCAAACCCTCACCCTCTGTGGCCCCCTTCCCCTTACATGTGTAATCAAGTCTCTATATTGGTCTTCTTTCTGCGGTCCACCTAAGTATCATTAATCTGCTACTTGCTGCCTGAGGTCGTCGTGCGGTATAGATACTGATTCTTTATACGAGCGACAAATGTTTTTCTGGGCGGTGAAAGCACCCACTGTAGAATTGTTATTTGTCAGAAACAAAGGCCTATCTAATAGAAACGAGATAACAGACGGTTCCCACTTTACTTCAGCATTCCACTACATACTACAATACACCAAGCATGGCTGTAGCAGCTGGCACACACTGCTGACCTCATCACGACCTCTTCATGTAAGCAAGAAGATTATTTTCTTCCAGAAACTCGACCCAGGTCTGAAGCTTCAAACCGGGTATCTGTGTGAGCGGGGCGATTAGCTTCTCATCAGCTGCATTCATCCAAGCCAGCTGACACTTACCTCTTTAGCCTGCACAAACTCGGGGCTGTCGTACACGTTGCCGAACTTCTCAAACATCAGAAGCTGCTCGGTGAAATCCAGAGCAATCTCTGGCGACATGCCGTCCCGAGTCTCCAGAAGTCGTTGGAACTCATCAGCGTTTAATGTGTGATACTTCGTTCGAAGATTATACTCTGGAGTGTATTTATAAGTAACCGTGACAACTTCAGCGAATGGGAGAAAGGAAGGTTGTAGAAATGGGTTGTATACTTTCACCAATGGCAGCCAATTTGTCTGCTTCCGCGAGAGCCTGATTATAGAACGCGATGGTCTTGGCGAAATAAGTGGTACCGGATTCGAGAACCAGCTGAACAAGCTTTCCTGTATCCCGAATCGACACATTAGGCATTACGGTGTGTGGGCTGTGCGGGAAGCTCATGTTATATACGCCTTGCGCATCCTACTTAGATTGTAAGCGATCATCAACCGGGCAACGTACACCAACAACTGGGGAAGCAATGTCGACGCACAGGCTTGGACAGATACCGATCGGGGTGAGTCAAGCAATTTTCGAAATAGTTGGGGAAGAGCACCGTGGTGGTCATGGCCCACAGAGCTGGATATTGCTGATGGATGTAGTCCGTGACAATGCTCTTTCCCTTCCAGTGGTGGATGTGCAAGAGCGCTCCGCCAGAGAGTTTCTCAGGGTCAGGGAGCGCACTCCAAACAAGATGTTGAAGAGTCGACGTTCGGGCCGCTGCATCCACAATAGCACGGCCTTGCGCAATTTCGGCCTCGCTGGACTGTGTTGCCCAGAAGTCCGTCAATGCAAAAATAGCATTGGCGCCTGCGAAGACTGCTGCAAGCGCCTCAGCACCTTCGCTCAGATCAGCGCATCGAAGCTCTGCTCCAATGGCGGCGAGCTCCTGAGCTGCTGGCTTGCTAGGGTCGCGCGTTATAGCCCTGACTCTATAGAGATGCGGGCTCTTGAGGAGCTCTCTAGCGACGGAGCCACCCTGAGGTAATAGGATCATTGTCAGCTGTCAGGTGAAATATACTAAGTTCGTTGGGAGAGAAAAGAACCTGTGAGCCAGTGGCGCCAATGACAACGACCGTGCGCGGAGACATGATGATGACTGAATTCCTATCGAGAAATGTAAGGGATTGATGAAGAAGTGCTAGGAAAATGTCATTTGCGATCGACGCAGCTACTTATACTCCATCACCAATATCACTACCCAAAATATACCGCTTACTAATCGGAGCTGGAGATAAATCGGCATGGCTTCGGAAGAGGATTATTCTCCAACAGCCGTTAAAGAGATACAACGAACCTTTTTCACAAGCTAAAAAAGGTCGTGTCTGTAGTCGGTTAACTAATCTCCCTCTACTGCTTTGTAATCGAACTGTTGTCACTACCAGTGACTATGGATCAAAAGCCCTCCGACACCTCCGAGTTGCCGATCCACTTCCTGGTCCGGTGGATATCAATATCGGCCGCCTCTTTGCCCTAGATCAGAACGGCCACCGCCTATTCTCGAAGCAAGGTACCAACATTTCTATGGAAAGTCTTTGTAGTGACTCACTGTCAAGATGCATACTACAATCCTAGTCACAAGAGCCAGTTGAGGTCAGTGATCAGACAGAATTCTGCTCTGCTTTACTTACCCAAGACTTGAGATTGGAATCGGCAAAGGGTTGGTAGCTACATATTTCCGAAACGGCCATACCACTGTCATAGCTACCTGTCCGGATGCATCTCCAGAGAGCACAAGTTACCTGTACCCTTCACCCTGCGGGACGAATTGCAGTCTCATCATCTGACACCTCAGTCTGGATCACGCGGACAGCATCGCTGGGACGGCAATTGCGATACAAAATTCTCTTGAATTGATTTTATCGTGCTGAATGTGGAGACGTGCGATCAATACAGGCCTCTAATTGAGATTACGAACACCGATTTGCACAAGAGAGCATAAATAGTAATAACCGCATTGGAGCCACTTCTGCTTTGGGTAAGGCATTAATAAGGGGTTTGTAGATGCGTCGCGGAAACAACCCGTTTCAAAAAAGTGTTCGAATCTTCTGATATCATCGAGTCCTTGATTCGTTAGAACGGAATCAGTATCTACTTTAGAAAAAGGCTATGCTCCATCTTCACAGTGATATCCTTGACCTCTCTTTTCTGCGTTCAATTACCATGACCATCAGAATCATGAATTTCTTTTCCCTCTATCGACGAAGTATTTTCAAACCCCGAGCATATGCTCAGACTGGGAATGTGTTACACATCTACTGTCAAGCACAGCAATTATGCGAGGCGTGTGGCAGGCAACGTATGTCAGTTCTTTGGACCAAAGAAGAAATTCTGCCTAGTGTGTCCCGCCCCTTTCGCTTCCGTGGGTTTAGAAATGAGGGTATCTCTATTCGAGAAATGACCTTATCTGGCTTGTCGCGAAGCCCCTGTATTGGAGCCTGGCTGAAGTTTGAGTGCTTCCATTGTTGCACTTTCAAGGAGCTACATACTATAGAATTCTGAAGTCAGCCAAAGGCTTGCGTTGGCGCACCACTTCGGATTCCAAACTGATCGAAAGGAAACAGAGCAGCCAGACATCGGCCTTCCTGATCCCACTGAGATAGCCCAGAAAGACCCAGATTTGACGGCCAACAGAGTGCGTGGAACCCACTCTGAGACTTTTGCTAAGTATCATAAGTTGTGTGAGCAGTTTGAGAGATAGGAAGATGGAAGTGGATCGGATATGGGCGGGGTTGCATTTCGCAATTTCCACAGAGGATATTATCGACTGAAGGTATAATCATCTCTCTCAGTGAATAGTGGATTAACAAAAAAACTTATCGATTTTGATAATCTTCTAATAGTCGGACCACACAGACAGAGCATAAGCCTGCGTTTGTCTACAGGAAGGGGAAGTTGTCTATGCCTGCCTGGCGGATCATAATATGAACTTTGTGCGATTGACACCAGGTATCTTCCGGTTATGTCGAAGAGATAGGATTCTCTATTTCCATAAAGGAAATGTATTGAGAAAACGATGATTCTCACTCCTGTACCCTTCTTGGGCTCTTTATTTCCTGTCTCAAGATATGATATCGCCGAAATAGTCCGGCCCAACGCAAGGCGCTGAGGTTTCAAGCGGCAAAATCCTTCCGAGCAACTTATTAAACGAGATTCACCACCAGCCTGAAAGCCAACAGATACGAATGGGTGGAATGGAAAGCAAAACTGCGCAAGATCAGAGAGCTATATAAGAGCTTGATGGAACCACTTCTAAGAGGCGTGGAAACGGTGATATCCATGGCTATCGAGGAACTCTAAGCTACCAACTGATAACGAGAGCAGTGAGCGGACCTCTGAGAAACCCCAGGCTCATCAGAACTCATCTTCCCTCTCATTTAACTAACCGCCACCTGATACTCAGCCGACCGAGAGAAACACAACCGAGTGTTCTACAGTACAATCGACTTGGGGAAGGCTCAACAATCATGGCTGATCCTTTTCCCCCGCCCTAGCAGATATATTCTGAAGCTTCAAGGGTGGATGATGCTTAAAGACGACATCCTTGGTAACATTGTACTTGGACCACGTCTTATCCCGATACTGACAAAGAATCGCCTCGACAACCTGGAGAAGAACTGCCCAGAGGTTGATGAGAGTGAGCCTGAGCACAACGTATATTGGGTGAAAGTTGTTAGTCGTCTACCATCTTTCCTTGAATATGTGAGCCGTTGGATTGGTATCGGAGGCAAGAAGGAGTTGTGGGATTATAGAGACTTCCATGCGGACCAGATCCGAACTCGCTACTTCGAGACAGTCCCAACCAAGGCGCAGGTCCAACCTTGCCTCGCGGATCCTGGGGTTGTGGACTATCTGAGAGGGGTTTCTGGCGATTGTAAGCTTTACATGGTGATCGGGACCAAAATCGCTAATAGCCTTTCCTACACGGCTGAATATGATATCTCTGACGCGGGGCGCATATGGTACACCATGGCCGCGGCTCGCCCGTCCCTCATTGGCTACGAACTTCTGGAGATTGAGGTAAATCGGGCAGGTGAGGTCGAGAAGCTAAATAGGGTCTACCCTGATCCAGCCAGCGCCTTTCCCCCACTCCGCTCCTTCGTTCCTCCAACTCCAGAGACCGAGAAGTCCGAAGTTGCGGTTACAGATTCTGATTGAAGCACGGGAGAATAATGGCATAACCCGTGGATTAGGTGGAAGAGAATGTCGAAACATAGCAAATATCAACACAAGTTGAAACCAAATACAGCACAAAAATGTATTGTAAATCCTAATTATACTTATCCCAAATGTTACTTATTGCCTAGTCCCCATGATATCGACCTTTCCCAATGGCATAGGGGTAAATATATACGTATTGATGCCTGGACACCTGGGTTCTAACACCTAAAGTTCCTGAGGCATGAAAGTTTTGATAGCCATTTGCCTGGTCTTACTGCTTGGTAACGGCAGTAATGGGACGTGGCGTTTTCATGGCGTTTTGAAGTGCACTTGAGAAAGATGGAACCGAATCTGCTGCTCTGGCTGGGAAATGAGAATCAGATCATGGACACTAAGCATTACACAATGCGGATCTCACTGCACGCTACTCAATAGCCGATAACGAAGTTACGCTCCCACAGTCCCTGAGCTGGAATCCGTGCATTCAGGGCTCATGTGGATCTCTGAGTACTGGCCAGAGGGAGTGCAAAACGTGAGGTGAAATTTTATGTGGCATCTGCTCATGAATAACACACAGCAGCCCATGGGAAGGCAACGTCAACAGCACCGTAGTCAATCGCGATGCCATAACTGCTTGACTATGTTATATTACTGGTGTGTTACTGCGTTCACCATGTTCAATCTATAGTTCCATTATCGGACTACTGATGAGGCAAAACGAACCCCGCGGGGATTACACAACCAGGCGCAACTGCCGACTGCGGTTTCTACTATCATATCATATCAGGCGATACGGTATGTTGCAGCCTCTAATAAACAGGCTAGGCTGTCCTAAGAACTAGCTTCTATGTTGAGAACTGATTTAAGGGAGCTGCGAGGCGGAAATCGGCGAACCCAGTATCGCCGGAGAGTGTGGGCTCAACTTCGCAGGTAGCAAGACCTGACTAGAATTCAATTGCAATCTTGCTGCTTCATAGCCAGTTCTTGTCGCAGTAGAGGAACTTTGTGGTGCTGGAAATTGTTATTCAGGGGCTTGTATATAGAAGACTTGGCGGTACAGTACAGTACATGCTGTATATACATACACGAAAGTCTAAAAGTCATCTCAGGAGCAGTGAGTCTCAAGGTAAGGTACTGTACTGTATTGCGACTCACAAATGGGAAATCATTGAATGGTATGATATAACCTCAATTGTCCCCCCGTCACAACTCCATTCATGCCCACCTGGAACTTATTATGTCTGACGTGCCAAGAGAGGAAGTCCCCTTAGGACAATTCAACTATGAATTGTGTGCAGAACTCCATAATCGCAATTTTCTGATCGCCTGGGAAGCAGCAGGAAGATCTATGGAGAATGATCCTCTCTCGACCTGGTGGGAGCATTTCCATCCCTCCCCTGAACTCGCAGCCCGTTACCATCCCTGTTTGGTAAAGTTCTTCCAACGCGTGTACTATCATCCTGATGCTCCGGAATTCTTCTATTATCTTAAAAGTTGAATGACCCCTATTTCTTGATCAATCCTGGCCTCAACGCAATGTTCGACGGGAAGGACTGTTATGTGCTTCTGCATCCGGCCACGAGCTGGAACTGGTGCAATTGCGATGAATAGGGGATCATGTGGGGAGCCCTACGACCACTACCTCTTTTCCTTTTGCAATTAATAGGTGTCTAGATCCGATCAAACCACCTGCAAAGCCGTCTTTGCCGAGGAACGTGAGGACACGCATCTGATCTGTAACTACGGCCGTGGCTTCCGACCGCTCGAGGACATCTATGCGGACTACCTGTAGATGATCACGGAGAACAAGGTCGAGGTGCAGATCAACGGGCAGTGGCCTCTAGGGGAATCGGTACCGACCAGCTGCATAATCAATCTTTCAACACGATTGGCCCTTGGCGGATTCATACCTATACCGTAGCCGATGCCGACAAGGCGGTGCAAGCCTTCCTGCGCCTTCTTCACGAGATAGAGATTCGATTACCCAACAGCAGCAGCAGTAGCGACAACAACCACAGTACCAGTATCTCAACGAGGATATCCACCTCCTCCTCACTCCCCTGGTCCGACCCCGACGTGCGCACCGAAGCGCGCCTCGTCCCCAACAGCTTCATCAACGCCTTCTGCCGCGCAACCAGCACCACCAGCAGCCCTCCCATTCAATTCCGCTACATCGACGCCGACTTCCCCACGCCCGGCCCATCAAGCCCATCTTTCTCTTCCTCGCTGACGACGCCAACCACACCCCGGGAGAGACCATCACCACGGCACCCAAGCCAGATACATGCCTCAACTGCCTCCTCGGCCAGTGCAGTGATGGAGACCCCAAGGCCCCACCTGGACGCCCCGCCGGCCTGCCGTTTGGGGTTGGACGGCACGGCTGGGCCCGCCGCAGCGACGGCACGCGCATGGGCGACAGCTTCTTGGGCGGTGAGGACCCGGCGGACGAGAACTACGATCTGTATCAGTGGATGGTCAATGGGTTTATCCCCTTCCGCGATGTGCCGGTGCACCGTGTGCTTGATAGCTGGGCAGAGCGGGTGAGGGCTGGGGATTGGGTGGTCGGGCGGGATGGAGTTGCTGATGGGGTCCAGCGGTGGAGGGAGGCTGATTCTGATGGTGTGTGGGCGAAGTACTGGGTTTTTTTGGGGTGGTAGGTTCTATCTATCTTTTTTTTTTTTGGCTTCTGGGTACGGAGTAGTGTGGAATCCGGCTGGGATCGCGTGAGCAACGCTTTCATTGAAGATGACTCCTTCCTATTCGGGTGCGACAGGTTTGGTGTGGCTCATATTGTATGGGGAAGATCCTTGCTGCAGCTGGACAATCCTCTAGTCACCGGGGGAGGTAAAAGGGACGAGAAGGGCGATCGGGGAATAAAGCCTGGAGCTGAGAGGTAAAGGTAAATCCCTCTCTCTCTCTGACCCCACACTCCTGCTTGGGGATTCGTGTCGGCCTGAGCCGCCTCCAGCTTTGGGCAAGCTTATTTATATATTTATAGCCTGTGTCTGTCAAAAGTGTTGGGGAGACCGGTAACGAGTTCCAGCCAGAACCCCCGGGCTTTGTTGAGAGATATGTGCTGGATCCGGGGTGTATTTTGTGGTGGTTCTCTCCACCCTCCCCCCCCCTCTCTGATAAGGCAGGTGTTATCAGAAAGCCTTAGGGCAAGCTGGTAGGGCTAACCCTGCGAAAGAACCTGGTGCGTTGCTGGACTTGGAAGTCGATCAATCTCCTACTACGTCTCGGACATTGAGATACTTGGGCCCTGTTTCGATTAGTGTGTATTGGCGGAACTACTCTGCCTGGGAGTTTGCTCGCAACTTGGATTACGCTAGCTGACTGGCGATTTGGATGTGATTACATCAAGGGTAAAAAGGCCCTCTCCCAAAAGGAGAGGGGTAAACGAATCGACCTACATGGGGATCGAACCCACAACCTTCGGATTAGGAGTCCGACGCTCTACCATTGAGCCAATAGGCCTGAAAGCTACGAATTTAGTACTCTAATGACTACATAAGCTAAGCTTAATTTGAGCTAATATGCAAACATGCCCTACCCCCCTTGGCCAGTTAACGTACAACTTACCAAGAAATACACTTTAGTGCCGAAATATAGAAACCATAGCTTAGATTACGGTATTAGTATGAACAGCATCTTCGTAAGTTGAGCTCCTGAAGCAAAATATGTCGTCTACAGAGTTTTTTCTTTTGTCTTTTTTTTAAACTCTCTTTCTTTCGCAAATTGTAAGTCATTGCACTGTATCTGGCCCAGAAAGGGTGGTGCTTTGCCAACAACAACTTGCAGACTGAATGCTTCGCAAACAACTCGCCGGAGAGATTTGATCACTGTAAGGGTCAGGTGACCTTACAATCGTGCCTCAGGCAGTCACAAACCCAATTAAGATCAATGGGTCCACTTTACCTGATTCATCCCAAGAAAGCTATTGTTTTGACGTTGTTCTTTCCATATGGTCACGATGAGAAGCATGATGCTTGGAAATAATGTCTAATTATGGTCCATTGGCTCAATGGTAGAGTGTCGGACTCCTAATCCGAAGGTTGTGGGTTCGAGTCCCATGTGGATCGTTTGATCACCGTCCGCGATACTTGATTCGCTTCAATTATTTACCACGGACAAGTTCACTTTTTATTTTTTTTACCTTGACTCCCTGGTCACGGCGGATATCATGCACAGAATGTGCCCACTCAGAAAAACCCTCGTCTTTGGTCACAAAAGAGGGGGAGAGAACAGAAAGACAAGGCACCTAGGATCGATTTTTAAAGTCCCATGGACTCGCTTCCCATGAACGGGAACGAATGTAAGTGTCGGACGATTGTTCGGGACGATTATCCAAGTAGATAAACATAAACTTGGAGGCAGTGCTAGCAACACCCCGACAGCTAGCCCCGTGGGCCGGCTTCAAAGATTTATACCCGTTGATCTGAGTGATGCTGATAGTAGAATTTATGGATGGTGGTTGGTGGTTGGGTGGGTGACCATCGGATCTAGTCGTCCTTCGCCATCTAAGCCTTAAGAGAATTACAGTATAAGCTCTGGCTGTACATGAAATTCGGGGGTATGCCTTTGGGATCGCATAGGGTGACCATCTGTCCCCCACCTATGCGGTGGCAGCTTCGACGCTCTGCCATGCCAATCAGCTAACCCCCCTCCCCTCCCTTTTGGCCTTGTCACTTGCATGCATCAAGTGCCTCGCCTTCTTTCTCGAAGCAAAAAGGGGACTCAAGGCTCAATGCGATATCGTAGGGATAATCAGAGACTGCTTTTTATGTAATACCGATTGATCTATAACCTAGACTGCGGCTTCTACTTACCTAAGTGATTATCCTGCAATGTGTTCAGTCAGTGACATAAATGTGGTTCTCAAAATCTGCCACGCAGACTCAAACACTAAGAAAAGAGTTACACCATCTGTTCTTACCTTTCATAGTTCTTGTTCGCTGTCCCTGGAAACTATGAGTCTTTTGGATTCCGATGGTGGTTTATGAGTTCTTGCCCACACAACCCTATCAGCTGATTTTCTAGCCCTAATTTCTATGTAGTATACCTACCGCTCCGGTTATATGTTTGTCAACTATGTTGATTGCGTGCCTCAATTTGCTACGTCTACGTATTGGCTTCTTATTCTCAGTCCGTCATTCTCTATACTTCGCGTTCATTTGTATACGGGGACGGTGTCTGTCATTGGAATCGTACCGCGGACGCGACTCGGGTTTGTGAAGAGCAATCGAGACTTATTGATTTAAAGTTCTACCACACGACCTTCACGGTCAGCGGCGTCAGTTGCATCAAATACCATGTAGTACACCAGGAGGAACCTCCTGGCCGCCCATGGCTCGGAATCCGGTCGCCGAGGAGCCATTGGCTCATGCACAAATAATGACGGCAGCTGCCGCTTTGTCTGCCCACCCTTCCCCGCCTGAAGTACAAATCACGAAGTGCAGGTTGGGCCGGTTGCGATATGTTGCTGCCAATGCGAGGTGTAGATTACACTCTTTCAGCCCATTCCACGTGAGATCCGAGGGGGTTCCCAGTCCCGCCTTTCATGAGATGTCATCTGACCCAGCCATTTGCCACATACGCCTGATGTCATGGGAAAGACGAAACCGACTGCTACTGCGAGTGCCGGATTATATTAAAAGTCTCACATGCCGGTACTATGGTAGCAGTGCGGACAGGGCCAGCTCAGCACCCTACAGCTTTATACCATCGACAGTCCCAACACCGTTGGTGAAACAGACTCCCCCTCCTTGACAATCAATCTCCTGACCTAGCTACAACTCAAACAGAACCAAAGCTCTAAATCATCTCATACCTTAACAGTCATGACTACCTCCCACAGCATTGAACACTACAAAACCAACGTCCACGCCCACTGGGAGGGAAAACACGCCAAGGACTGGACGGAGGTTGATCTCATTGGATACGAGAACGCGACGAATCGCTTGTACAACGAGCTGTGCGCGCATCCGGACGCGGCCGTCGTCCAGGTCGGCCATCGATCGACCCTGCTCAACAACCATGGCCAGGACTACCGATTCAATGGCAAATTCTCCAGCGAGCAGACGCAGCCGGAGCGCAGTCACCATGAGTACAACCGGTTTGGAAAGCTGGTGAAGTGGGAGGGCGATCGGTGGTATGCTTATGATTTTGAAGTGGAGGTTACTGATCATACGAAGGCCTAGAAAGGGGGTGGGGATGGATGGCTAAGATGCTATGGATTATGACCCTAGGTTGCGCTGTTGCGCTGAGGTTAGTTTTGAGTAGCAACTGGTTCTGTGAGGCTGGAGCTTTGCCGTTCCTCCTATTGTCTAATCAGGATTATGTGATCGCCAGTTATTTCTGACCTGCAAGAGGATAGGTGCCGGTGTAATACCTGGGGAGGGATCTGAGATCAAACCTGAATTAACTGTTTCTCTTCATAATCTGACCAGGTCTTGGGGTGCTTGTTCGCAAACTAGGATATGACATCAACACATGTCGCCGTGGCCTTTGTTGCGGCAGGCGCCTCAACTATAGACAAAAGGATTAGTAGACTCACACCTTGTATGTATCCTGTGTCTACCATGTGTACTGACACACAAACCAATAGCTTTGACAAGTGTAACCAAAGTTAACCTTGAATATTCTAGATATGGCTTTGTGATCTATCCAGTTCGGTCGCAATCACAAATGAGGTGGATTCGATAACTTGAGCTTGAAGAGCACATTTGAACTAATCGGTATAGATTCCACACCGTGTGTATCCTCGACCTGAGAACCGCCCAACGGGCCGCCGGAGCTCATGGAAGACCCGAATATATACTGGATGAATTACCTACTTTCCGCCTCGCAGCAAAAGATGACTGTTTAATATCTCCCGTTGTGGGCCAGACTTCAGGGCTATTAACAATACTTGACACTTGTGGGCTTTTAGATACACTTATTTGGACAGTCTCAGTGGTAACTTGTAGAAACCTGTGTGAGCCACATCTCAGATAACCGTGATCAATAACGATATAGCAACTCTTATACAATATCCAAGCACATACGACCACAGGGTGTGGAAAACAGGGCTTCCCGTCCGCTCAGCCGTACTTAAGCCACACGCCGGGAGGTTAGTAGTTGGGTGGGTGACCACCAGCGAATCCCTTCTGTTGTATGTTTTTTGTTATTATAGATAAATGCTGCTGAAACCGACTGACCGACCGAAGCACGGCAGAAGTGTTCTGGATTGTTCGGGAGAACCGGAGTTTCGGAGCTCTGACGCAAGGGTTCTTTTTATGGATTCATGAAGGCAAAAGAACGGCAAAAGCACGGACAATTCGCCCTCCACAAGCTCCACCGACCCCAATGTTATTTGTCTATTGTCTTCTCCACTGCATGGCCACTGCATGATGTAATGCTGTCCAACACACTTTGAAAAAGCGGCGGTGAAGCTGGCCAGTCTCTTCCTGGAGGTCAACTAAAGTTCTCTCTCTCTCACCTGACCAGCAAATCCTTTTTTTTTCCTCCCCCTTTTCCTTATCATCTTCTCATTCTCTCTTGCAAGCTTTTTCTCCCTGTCATTTCTTTCCTCCTCCACCTCCTTTTCCCATCCATTGACCCTCCAAAACCCGACGAAATGGCTCCTCTCAAGCTTAACAACAAGAACCTCTCACAGATCTCGGCCGCGGCCGGCGGCGAGACGCAAGTGCAGGTGCCGACCTACGAGCGTGGCTCGGCCGTCAAGGAGGGCATCGTACACGTCGGGGTAGGCGGATTCCACCGGGCGCACCTGGCCGTGTACGTGGACCAGCTGATGCAGAAGCACGGGGTACGCGACTACGCGATCTGCGGCGTGGGGTTGCAGCCGTTTGACGCGACGATGCGGGACGCACTGGGGGCGCAGGACCACCTGTACACGGTGATCGAGCGGTCGGCAAAGGGCAGCTTCGCACACGTGGTGGGCAGCATCAACTCGTACCTGTTCGCGCCGGACGACCGCGAGGCGGTGATTGCCAAGATGGCGCACGCCGACACGCACATCGTCTCGCTGACCATCACCGAGAGCGGCTACTACTACAACGAGAACACGCACGAGCTGCAGAGCGAGCACCCGGACATCCAGTACGACCTCGACCCGGCGCACGAGGGCGCCCCGCGCACGACATTTGGGTTTTTGTACGCGGCGCTGGCGCGGCGGCACGCCCAGGGCCTCAAGCCCTTCACCGTGATGTCGTGCGACAACATGCAGAAGAACGGCTCCATCACGCGCCACATGCTGGAGTCGTTCGCCCGGCTCAAGAACCCCACCATCGCCGCCTGGATCGCGCAGCACGGCGCCTTCCCCAACGCCATGGTCGACCGCATCACGCCGCAGACCTCGGCCGCCGACAAGACGGCGCTGGCCGAGTCATTCGCCATCGAGGACCGCTGGCCCGTCGTCACCGAGCCCTTCATGCAGTGGGTGATCGAGGACCAGTTCGCGGACGGGCGGCCGCCCTTCGAGCGCGTCGGCGTCCAAGTCGTCAAGAACGTCCACGACGTCGAGCAGTTCGAGAAGCACAAGCTCCGCCTGCTGAACGGCAGCCACTCGGCGCTGGGCTACCCGGGCCAGCTGGCCGGGTTCAAGTACGTGCACGATGTGATGGAGAACCCCGTCTTCAACAAGTTCGTGTGGCAGATGATGCAGACCGAGGTCAAGCCGCTGCTGCCGGACATCCCGGGCGTTGACATCGACGAGTACTGCCGCACGCTCATGGGCCGCTTCGAGAACCCCACCATCATGGACCAGCTGCCGCGCATCTGCCTCAACGCCTCCGGCAAGATCCCCCAGTTCATCATGCCCTCCATCGCCGAGGCCATCTGGGTCAAGGGCCCCTTCCGCAAGTTGTGCTTCGTCGCCGCCGCCTGGTTCCGCTACGTCAACGGCGTCGACGATGCCGGCAAGTCCTTCCCCGTCGATGACCCCATGCGCGACGAGCTCCAGGCCAAGGCCCGCGCTGGCGGCGCCACCGATCCCCGCCCCCTGCTGAGCATCAAAACCCTCTTCGGTGACGACCTGCGCAGCGACGAGCGCTTCCTCAAGACCATCTCCCAGGCCATGGAGGAGATCGACCGCGACGGCATCCTCAAGACCCTGCCGAAGTACGTCGACTAAGTCCTACCTCCTTACGACTGTCCGGAATATTTTTTTGTTTGGGGAATCAAGCTGGTCAAAAATAATTCGAATTATAAGTTGCGAAGCCTGCAAGCGAGTGTTTTAACTTTTTGGTTTACATGTTTATATGCTTTTGGCTTTTTTTACTTTCGGTCATGGTATGCGTCATGCGGGATTGAGTTACGATGGAAACAAAAAACTTTCTATATAGAGAGATAGATGACGATAGATTAACTTTCTTCTTTAATTCTTACATGATACTGTCCTTGTATACTTTCTTAGGACTGATACTGGTTCATCGCCTCAGGCACACGGTGGGATGGAAACATATCTTCTCTCTACAAATGCCCGCCGGAACGGTCGGCATTGCCAGGAATGGATACGGAGTCAATGTGATATCAGTCTTAACGCAATAAGTCTAGCTCAGATGATGCAATAACGCTAGCAAATTTCTTATTGACAAAAAGATGTATCAACCTAATGGTGGCAAAAAGAAAGCAAAAGAATAAGCGGTGGCGAATTCACCAAAAGCAAAAATGGGACGAGCCGGGCTTGAACCGGCCACCTCCAGATCTTCAGTCTGACGCGCTCCCAGATGCGCCATCGTCCCATTTGTTGAATTCTGGCACCACTGTTTGCTCTCTGAGCAGCGGCTAACAGAGGTAAAGCGACCGTAACAGCCTAATCAGTCGGACCACTACTGCTCTACACGGGTACAGTATCATCATGACATGCAACGGCATCCACATTAAATCTATGTACGTACATCCACCCCCCAAACCTATGCACTTCCCGCTTGTTGCTGCTTCCATTGGTGTGCCTTCTGTAACAGCTTCGACAGGTTGGCCGCCGATTGGTCGTCCGCGGGGAAGACATAGTCCATGTATTCCTCGTAGCGGTCGTCGTCCAACTTGCGACGCTTCTTGACCCGGCGGGGCATCTGTTTCTCGATCTTGTCGATATCCTCGGGCGAGCCGTGCGTGTGTTCGAACGAGCGCCAGGCGTTGAGGAGTTCCACGCGCTGGAAGAAAGAAAATGTTAGCTTGGCGATGCTCGTGCTCATCGGTGGAGCTGGACCGGAGACTGACCTCTTCCTTGAGTTCCTTTTCCTTGAATACCTTGTGGGCGCGCGTGAAGATGGCCCGGGCACGCCGCTTGGCCTCGTCGCTGACGGGCCGCTCCTCTTCCTCGTCCTCTTCCTCGTCCTCCTCGTCCGGCACGTTGATCTCGAACCGCGCGTAGTTGATCCACACCTTGACGTGGTCGGTCTTCTGCAGGAGACGCTCGTACAGGTGGCGGACCCGGTCGTACTCGCCCTCGTACTCTTCGAAATCGATGTAGGACTTCCACACCAGTTCCGGCATGTCGAGGGTCGGCTGGTCGATGCCCAGCTCGTAGATGGCGCGCGCGCGCTCCGTGTCGTCTAGCCCCCGCTCGAGCTCGGCGTACTTGATCCACGACTGGCTGTTGGACGGATTCCACTCGATCTGCTTTTCGAACAGCGTCCGGCACCGCACGAACTCGAATAGCTGGCGCTCCAGGTCGATGTAGCCCCGGAAGAGCTTGTCCTTGGGGCACATGCCGAGGGCCTGGCCCAGCGCCTTGCGGGCGGCCTGGAGATCCATCTGGCGGATCTCGAACTGCGCCTTCATGAGCCAGATCTTGGCGAAGGTGAACTTCTTATGCGGGACGAGCTTCAGGCACTCGTTGTAGATCTGTCGCGCTCGCTCGACATCCTTGGCCTCCATCTCCTCCCAGATCGCGTAGAAAATCCACAGGTAGATATACCGCCGCCAGTGCCGCTTCTCCTGCGAGGGCGGGATCTGCGCAATCGCCCGTTCGTAGATGTCCCGCACCCGGTCCGGGTCGCCGGATGTCTCCTCGAGCCGAGCAAAGTCGAACCATACGTCGTAATTCCGCGCATTCTCCTTCAACTGCTCCTCGTACTGCACACGGCGCTTGGAGAGGATGACATCCTCAACACCCTCGCGATCACCGAACTGCTTCTCGAACGTCGTGTACGCCTTATGCAGCGCCATGGACTTGGACCGCGGCAACCGATCTAGAGCATACTTGTAGATCGCCCTGGCGCGCTCGTACTCCTTCAACTTGGCCTCGAACTTAGCATAGGCGATGAACAGCTTCTCGTCCATGAAATCCTCACCGAGCGTCTCGATGGCGATGCCATAAACCTCGCGCACCAGGTCACTCGTGCCGAACTCCTCCTCGAACCGGGCCCACTTGATCCAATTCCTGGGCTCCGGGTGGACGATCGTGAAGCGCTGGAAGATGGCGCGGGCGCGCTCGAACTCGTTGTACCGCTTCTCCAGCTTGATGTAGGCGCTCCAGGCGCCCTCCTCGGGCTCCCACGACATCCAGCGCTCGAATACCTGGCGGGTGCCGGGGATGTTGCCGAGGGTCTCCTCCATGTAGACATACTTGTACCACAGCTTGTCGACGCGGGGCAGGATGGTGACGGCGCGGTCCAGCAAGTTGCGCGCGTGGTTGATGTTGCGATTGCGCATCTCCGACTCGATGTAGCGGATCCACAGCACCACCGAGGTCGGCTGCACGTCCAGCGCCCGCTCGAAGATCGAACGCGCCCGCTGGAACTCCTTCTGCTCCAGCTCCCACGCCGCGTACCGCATCCAGTTGTTCATGTTGATCCGGTTGCGCCGCACATAGTCCTCGAATTCCTTGCGTTTGCGGCCTTGGTACTCGTGCAGCTCTTCCAAGTCCGCGAACCGCTGCGTCGGCGCCTGCAGCGCTGGCTCCTGCCGGTCCACGGCCTCGCGGAGCAGCTGCTCCGCTGAGATCTGGACCGGCGCTGCGGCCTTGTTCTTCACCCGCGGTGGGCCACGAGAGGCTTCCATTGCGTGTGTAGGTGGTGTGCTGTGAAGATAGAGGGGAGGGGGTTGAGGAAGGAGGTTGTTGTCGGAGGGAGTGAGCTTGGTGGTTATCGGTATCGATGGACCGCGGCCGGTGTGCGTGCGCCGATCCTCAGCTGTCGGGTGGTATCACGGGGCTTGGACGCGAGAAATGAGTTGCTAGAGCAATATGATTCTTTTCCTGTAGGGGTGCTGTCAGCTGCGGTGAGCTGAGCCGCACGTTGTGTCTCTGTGTGAGCAAGCAACACCTCCGGGATTGATGATGTCGCGGAATCGAGACTTGTCCGCCGGATCCAAATTCGGAAGGCCTGCGCTTCTGGTCCGTTGCGCCTCCCCGGGCCTCGCACTAGTTAATTTTATCCGCGCAAATGCGCGCGCCACTCGCTTTCCGCGCTAGTCAGTCTACACTCACAAATAAAGAACTTAGTCACCGGGCGGTGAGCAGAGCCTTTGGCAGAACGCACGCCGTCCCCAATATTCAGTAGTCCTTTCTGTTCTTCGATTTAACCAACTCACAAGCTCATAGCAGATTTCCCCCACCATGTCCAACGTCGAGGACCTTCTCCGGGATTTCGAGGACGACGACGAGGATCTCCAGGTTGGAGACGGCCTGGAAGACGAAAATGGCAACGAAGATGACAACATGGTGGTGGACGAGGAGCAGCTGGCGCAGCCGGCCGCCCCGGAGGTCACCAACGAGTTCGACGTCGCGCTGTCGACGCAAGATGAACTGACGCGGCTGCACAAGGTCCTACGCGACCACTACTCGATCCGATTCCCTGAGCTTGAGACCCTCGTGACGACGCCGCTCGACTACGCGAAGACGGTGGCGATTCTGCAGAACGGCCCGCTCAACGACATCAAGGCGCTGTCGACCTCGGCGGATAACATGGTTGGCGTGCCGCTCCGGTCGGTGCTCGATGGGCCGTCGCTGATGGTCGTGGCGGTGGAGGGCACGACGACGCGGGGCCGCGAGATGACCGAGTCGGAGCTGAAGGCGGTGCTGGATACGTGCGAGCGGATCTTGAAGCTCGATCGCGAGCGCACTGCGCTGACGGAGAGCATCCAGTCCCGCATGAGCCAGATCGCGCCTAACTTGGCGGCGTTGATCGGTCCGGAGACGGCGGCGCAGTTCCTCAACCAGACGGGTGGTCTACGCGAACTGGCCAAGATCCCTGCGTGCAACCTGGGAGCGCAGGGCTCGAAGAGGAAGGAAGGCCTGGGTTTTGCCACGAACCATGGCATCCGGGCGCAGGGCTTTCTCTACAATGCGCCCATCATCCAGGAGATCCCCAACGACCTCAAGCGACAGGCCATCCGCATCGTGTCCGCCAAGATGGTGCTCGCTACCCGCGCTGACGTCTCTAACTACAGTCCTGATGGCTCCTTGGGCGAGGAACTCAAGCAGCAGTGCTTCCAGCGATTGGAGAAGTTGACGGAGCCTGCGCCCAACTCCGGTGGGAAGGCGCTCCCCGCCCCCGACGACAAGCCGTCCCGTAAGCGCGGTGGTCGACGGGCCAGGAAGGCCAAGGAGGCCGTCGCCATGACGGAGCTCCGCAAGGCGCAAAACCGGGTGGCCTTCGGCAAGGAGGAAGCGGAGGTCGGGTACGGCACGGGAGAAGGCACCATCGGGCTGGGCATGCTTGGTCAACAGAACGATGGTCGCATCCGTGCCACGCAGATCGACCAGCGAACCCGGGCCAGGCTCAGCAAGAACAACAAGGGATGGGGCATCGGGACCCCCGTCAGTGGTACCTCTACCTCTCTACGTGCCTTTGGAGGAGGCCCCGGCACCAGCGGAACGGCCAGTGTTCTTCAGGCCAAGGGCCTCCGGGCTTCTGGCATTGGCACGTCGCTGGGTGGATCCGCCGGTACGGCCAGTACTATCGCCTTCACGCCCGTGCAAGGTTTGGAGCTGGTGGACCCCAAGGTGCAGGCCGAGTTGAACCGCAAACGCAAGGCCGAGGAAGACCGCTGGTTCAAGTCTGGAACCTTCACCCAGTTTGGCGGACAGCAGACTCCTAGCAACGCTCAATCTCAAGGGGAGAACGGCGGATTCAAGGTTCCGGCCATGCCTCCGAACAAGAAAGTCAACACCGGCGAAGGCAAGATGGCACCGCCTCCCCGCCCTTGAAGCGGTAAAGAACCTATTGCAATGATTTCCTCGTTTTCGATTTCTTTAATTCACGGAGCATTTTACTGGCGTTATGCTATTCCAAAGGTTCGGGCAGCCCTGCATGATACCATTCCAAGAAATTTTGTATGATAGTGATCAACTGAGATGTTTTGCTGCAACCCTCCCTCCGTCCACGTGCCTGATACGGGCGTTCGTCACGTTTCCAAGAGTAATATAGCCTCGGATCTGTTACGGCACAAAGCTGCGCAGATAGCATTTTTGGTTCCTAAAAATGGGGATACTACAAATGGCAAGGGTGCCTGATGTTGGGTCGCCGCGGAAATGTTATCCGAGCAAGGTGACAGAAGATGCCAACGCTGTCATTGATATTAGCGATCAGCATGCTCTGTGACTCTACGGCTATACGACGCCTTGTCTTATGGTTAGCTCAGATTATCGAGTAAGTTAGACCCCCAGTCGAGGATTATATTCCTCGGAATTCACCATCGACAAAATTACGTTGTTTCTTTGGTTTGTTCACTGATCCTGTCTGCACTAGACTGGGGCTGTCACCAGGAGCCGGCCGGTCATCGCAGCCCTTTGATGGTGGTGACAATTGACTTGATAGACTTTGCAGAAGCAGTAAAGAATTTGCTCCAGTGGGAGAAGATACCCCATCTTTGTCCCGCATTCTGATCAGAATCTGTTGAGATGATACATGTCGGGGTGCTATCCCTATCTTAGCGGCTCAAAGTATTGCGTCTTCGGTAGAATCTTGCTTCTTAAACGCAGATCTCGAAAAGAGCTCTGAGCCTTACATCCCACCTCCTCTACCTATCGTCACTACGAGACTATTTGCTGTAGGGACCAGATCAGGATGTGCTGGATTTTATCTCGCGAGTTTGCAGGCTGCCAACGACATTTTACTACTGTATCTCACCCCCGGATGGCTTCTCCATCTCCCTCATCCGATTGAACGCTATCTGCGCCTTTTCTCTCGCACCTGGTTCAAAGGCCTCAGAAGACTGGGAGACCGCTTCAAATCCTCTCTTCCATTGCTCCCATTTCTCCCCTGGAATATCCCCCTGCACTGACCAACGATAAATCTCTCCACCCAAAATATCAATCCAAGCTGCCGCAGCTGGGACGTGATACAGCCGTTCATCCTCGCGGTACCCCCCAGTATTTGGGCTGAATGCGCGATTCAGCGTCCATACGCCGTAGTGTCCCAGCGATGCATTTAATGCCGTTAGGTGCGCAGCAAAGCTGTTCAGAGAAACCCACTTTCCGATGTATTTGGTTGTCCCCGTTCCAGCAGCGGGTTTATCAGGCCCTTCTCACAGTTACTTTTCTTACGTTTCCCAAGACTATATTCTAGGGGAAACTTGACACACCGTTCCATCGTTCGCGTGTATTAAACGCAATTCCTTTCTCGAGCTCCTCGTTCCAAGGCGCCGGAAGGTTATCTATCAGTTGCCGCGTGATATTTGCCAAGGAAAAGGGGTCAGAAGGGGAGGATATAGCTGCCTCGAAGAGGACACCTTGGATATCTTCCACCCCTATTTCGGGATCTGGCAGAGAAGTCATGGCGGCTATGATTGAGTTCGAGACTGTTTCGTGGATGGCTTCTCTATTGGCAGGGCCTTCTTGAGAAAGGCGTCGCAACTCGTACAGGACACTTTCTATGAAGTGAAATGCGATCTCGGCATCAGGCTCGTCGGCAAAATCAGACTGCCACGTTCGAAGATAACCTGTCGCCCATGCGTCCATTTTCTTAGAAGAAAAGGTTTCTTGTTGATTTGGATGTCAGGGGGACGGGCTGTTGATGGTATATTTAAGCTGCTCTATAGATTACGTCATTTTTTGTTATAGGAACAAGGTCAAGGGCAATACACCTTTGATCGCATCAGCTCAGCCTGCCTTCCAAGATTTGCACAATTGTACTTCGATTACCTAGTACTCTATCTTCATGGGTAGCATAATAATGGTATCACAAGATCTGATACTCCACCACGCTTGGGATTCGTGATGAGACGCTCTGGTCCGTATTTTGAGCCGAAAGGCGGATATTTCATGGAAATAAGAGAAGCGTGCTAAAGTAGAGCCACTTTTAGTCACTTCAACGGTGATACGTCGAGAATTCACAGCCGCTCGACCGAAGTCACAAGCACTATTGATGGGGAACCTGGCCTGCCTGTTCAACGGAGAACGCCGATTGGAACCCTCCTATGCAATCGCACCCGAACACCTTCTTCCAAGATCTGTAGCCATATCTCTGTACATTGAATAATAATAGCAGCCTCCTCGCCTATCGCAAAGTTTGTTCTAAGTGCTACGCAGGAAATCCCAGTGACGAGACCTCTTTCTTCCTGTTCCAAGTGCTATGCTAGATAATCTCTGATTATGGGAAGTATGCTCCAGGCAACTTTCGAGTACTGTGAGGGGCACAGCTCGAAAGGGCATGGGAACCTCAAAGTTAGAAAGCCGGAGGCCGTGTACGGACATCTATGAGGACCAAAACCACTATACTAATCTGGAATACGCCTGGGCAGCAGGCACACACTAGCCCGACACTGAGAATAATATAATTTATCATAAAAAACTAAAATAGTCTTTATTGAAAAATTTTGGGACCGTCGACAGACAACTGCCGTACCTTATGTCTTCAATCTCGTCTTTCTCTTATAGTTGCCTTGTCATTGTGGGGTTTGTTGGGCGAATAAGGAGGACCCTTGTTTTGAATATTGTCTGTTAAGTCTAGATCATGCAGGTACATAAGACGCATCGTACAATAAAGACGTCTTGTATCTCGCGGAATACGCTCTGAGCACCCACGTGACCATAGTGTTCTAGCTATCTCATGACTAACTGTCTGTGATAAAGTGGCCCATCTCTGTCTTTTGCCTAAACAGTATCACTTTTCGGGAGCTTGCTGGTATCTTGCCTTCGTATTGGTCGTTCTATTCCACAATTTAGGCATCCAAATTATGTTGCAGGTCTCGGAGATTACACATCCGGACTGATCAGATAAGTGGAAGACGCTGTTCGATACACTATGTTGCATTATCATAGCCCTTCGAGGATGTTGAAAGACTTTAAAGTAGTTCATCCAGTTTCTTTGTATCTGCTTCTATGACTACGTTGATGGCCTAATAGAGATGAAGACTCTAGGATACAAATACATTTCCCCTTCGCACTTCAGTTCGGGTGCTTTTGATAGTCGGAGCTTGGTGTAGATCCGATCCCCGGGCGAGACCATGCCCAGTGGATCTAGAAGATGGAGATCTCAGACCCGCCAGCATCAAGCCATAGTGTATCCGGCAAAATTTACCGAGGACACTAATAAAAACGTCTAGGGAGGTGATGAGCTTAGATGATGAGGATATTCGAACATCTGAGTGCGATAATCACCCCCCTTCGGACGGGCAATATCCGTAGCGGATATCAACATTGTTTTGAGATGATACGAGATGGCAATGCGGTGTCCGACTCGCCATCTTATCTTCGCCTCAACAGGATCCACCAGGTAGGAGAGAACTTTCCTCCTCTAAGCAAGCTGTGACCGAAGGAAATCCGACCGGCCCGGTTCCTCGCCCTGTTCTGGAAAACCTGTTGCAGGTTGACCCTTTTCCTGGTTCATCCGGGTAAACTCCTTCCCGCGCAGAGGAAAACCCTAAAAGTCTAAATCATAGTGATGCGTTAGGCTTGCGCCTCTCCACTACTCAAAACACTTCTGACGAAGTTTAATTAAACACGCGCGTCAAACGGTGGGTCCTAGGACTCAACCTTAGTTCATACAAACGCGCGTTCATAGATTGATAGTGGCTTAGTGCCAGTCTAACTTCAGGTTGGTGCCACTGCTGCCACTGCAGCAGCTGGTGCTCTGTGTTTAAAAACCTCCATTTCGCCTCCTCAACAATGGGCTTTTCATCTATCTTTCCCATCATCTACTCTCTTCAGCTCAGTCCTTCTTTCTCTTCTCCTTGACTTAAGCCATCATGCGCCAGTACTCGCGTGCCACCGCGGCCGCCGTTGCTCTGGCAGCAACGGCCCGCGCCACCAACTCTTCATCACTTGCCTCTCTTTGTACCGTTGCCCACGTCCAGTCAGCGCTCCCTGCCAATGGCACTCTACTTGGGATTGACATGATCCCATCCTCGGTCACGGCCAAGACTGCCACCAGTTCTGGCTATGAGTACTGCGACGTCTCAGTTTCCTATGTCCATACCGGTACCACCGACGAGGTCGTCCTCAACTACGGCTTTCCAAGTCCCGAGAACTTCGCCAACCGCTTCTACGTTGTCGGTGGCTTTGGCTACACCCTGAGCACCAGCATCACCGGGGGATTAGAGTACGGAGCCGTGGGTGCCGCCACAGACGCGGGTTATGGCGCGCTGTCGGGTACCACCATCGATGAAGTTAACCTGTCTGGAAACGGCACCATCAACTGGGACCCTATCTTCATGTTTGCGTACAAAGGCCTGGGCGAGATGACAACGGTTGGAAAACCCCTGACTCGGGCTTTCTACGGCCTGAATGACGAGGCCAAAGTGTACACCTACTTTGAGGGCTGCTCGGACGGTGGCCGACAAGGTAAGCCTCGACGTCCTACTCAGACTCCACCACAAAGCTAACAGATCTTCCTACTTAGGTATGAGCCAAATCCAGCGCTACGGGGACCTCTATGACGGCTGTATCATCGGAGCCCCTGCCCTCCGCTATGGCCAGCAGCAGGTGAACCACCTGTTCTCCGCTGTCGTGGAGCAGACAATGAACTACTTCCCCCCTCCGTGTGAGTTGGAGAAGATTGTCAACGCGACTATCAGCGCCTGCGATCCTCTTGATGGGAGGACCGATGGTGTTGTCTCTCGCTCCGACCTGTGCCAGTTGGAGTTCAACCTGACTTCCGTTATCGGAGAGCCTTACTACTGTGCTGCTTCGACCAGCACTTCCCTTGGTTTCAACTTCGGCAAGCGTAACGATGGTACTCAGACCACAACCAACCCTGCGCAGAGTGGCAATGTGACTGCTGAGGGTGTTGCTGTCGCCCAGGCTATTTATGACGGGTTGTTCAACTCCAAGGGTGAGCGGGGTTACCTCTCCTACCGCATTGGTTCCGAGTTCACCGATGGCGAGACCACCTATGACAACTCCACTGCCTCGTGGGGTCTGAACATCCCTTCGACCGGCGGTGAATTTGTTGGCCGCTTCATTGAATTGCTCGACGTGTCTAACCTCGATAACCTCAACAACGTCACCTACGATACGTTGATTGACTGGATGAACGAGGCGATGGTCCTGTATATGGATACCCTGCAAACGACCCTCCCTGATCTCACTACCTTCAAGAACTCCGGCGGCAAAATCATCCACTACCACGGCGAAGCGGATCCCAGTATTCCCACCGCTTCGTCTGTCCACTACTGGCAGTCCGTGATGAAGATCATGTACCCTGATCTCGGTTCGTCCAAGGCGATTGAACAACTCAAGGAGTGGTATCAGCTGTACCTGGTGCCCGGTGCCGCCCACTGCGCCCGCAACAGCCTTCAGCCCAACGGTCCCTTCCCCGAAGATAACATGGCGACGATGATCAAGTGGGTTGAGAGCGGTGTCCAGCCTACCGGCTTGAACGCTACTGTCGATGCGGGCACCTACGACGGGGAGGTGCAGAAGCTCTGCCAGTTCCCCAAGCGTCCCGTGTGGAAGAAGGGAGCTTGGAAGTGCGAGAGCGATGACGAGGGTGCGGATACCTTCTACTACACTTTCCCTGCCTTCAAGGTGCCCATCTACTAAGGATCTCGTTCTTATGTGGGTATGAATCGTCTGCAGGCGACAGGACCAGCTGGAGCCTGGACTGGACGAGCTTCATGACACCTTGACTTCCCCCGTCCCGAGTTGCCAAATGTGGTCTTCTCAATATACCTCTATCAATTCTTTGTTGTGTATTATAGAACTTGGTGCTCCCACATAGGGAGTTCGCATCATCATTGCCCTATATAGATCAATCGATACTAGCGTAGCTGCGCTTCTAACTCTGAGATCCCCACTCTCCCCAGTCTGAAACTCATGTAAAAGCCATCGACCCAAAATCCAAAAGACACATTTTGTGGATGAGCAAGTCCAACTGGAATAGACTTCCTCACCGAAGAAACCTTGTGTTTCCAAGCCATTCACCTAATGTATAACCACTTGTACTTTTCGGTGGAGTTGCAATTCTCAACTAAAAAAGTGGGCTCGGGTAAATACATACCCACTCTAAGCATTCGTGAATCCGATCGCCGATCGCCCCTAAGCCAAGAACGTTCTAGCGCGAGTAGCCCTAAGACCAGCTTGCAGTACCCAATGTAGAACATTACGTAGATTGTAGGATTTATGAGATGGTTTACAATGTATTGATAGCGGTTCGAGATTACAATCAAAACAAGAAGAGCAGAGCCGATCCGAATCCATATTCGATCTGCCACCCTTAACACACCGTCCATGCTTGCGATTGTGAGACTAGACGGTCCAGTAACCGCTAGGAAGAGATCGAGTCTCGGAACTCTGAAATCTTCAGATCATCATCTTGAGTGCGAGTAGGTAGATATGGTTTAGCAAGTCAACAAGTCTCCGTTTATATACTCAAGATCAGTATCTAGTGCAATAGTCATCACCTTCTTCCCGGGACCATAACGACTAACCAGAGCAATCGCCACAGATACATTGAGGCCAGTCGAAGTTCCAACCAGCAAGCCTTCTTCCATAGCCAGACGCCGGCACATACCGCGTCCATTTAACTCCGAGAAAGCCCATGCCTGGTCATACAGTCTCCATCGAGGGGATCAGGTCCGGTGGTCTCCCCGCTGGGCTGGGCATTAGGTCCAGCTCTGGCCCGAACGCCTCCATGGTCCTCAACTTCTTAATCGCAAAGCCGTCGGAAGAGATGACCGTGAAGTGATAGCCTTTCACGGTGCACGTGAAGGTGAGAGACGAGCCCGTGCTTCCGCCTGTGGCTTCGATGACGGTCACGCCGGGTGTCAGGGCTCCGCGGCGCTCCGCCTCCTCGATGAAGGATCTGGCCATACAGTCTTTGTAGAGTCCGTTGGGTTCATTAATCCGAGTTTCATGGAAACTTCGGCGCTGTTGAGTGGCACGATGGGGCTCAGCCGCACTACGGCGTGTCGCTGATGGCGCCTAGCATATCTCTGGCGAGACGCGCAACGCGGTTGGGTATGGTGGAGGTGAGAACCTTCAGGTGAGAGTAAAACAGATGATGTGTGACGGGACTCGTTGGGAGACAGAGAGATTAGAAGGTGTTGAGGTAAATATACACCGAAAGACAGGAAGGGCGGCTGAGCGTTATACTACTTGATAGCTGATGAACGAGGTCGGAAACGAGGTCGAGAGGCCTTGGACTGGCCGGCTTACCCTTTCATGGGATTTTGTATTGGAAGCACGGCTAATCCGTCGCCTGGCAAAGAAGAAAGAGGTATCAAAATTGGCGGTCCGGTCGCTATAATCGGTGGCGCTTCTAATGAGCGTTTTGAACACAACATACCTTTTATGACTGCTTTCTCTTGCTTGTTAGTAGTTTAGGACAGAGAGCAAGTGCACTGGAGATCTGTGCGAGGCGTCTTTGTAGTAGGTACACCTCTTCCCTCCGTGTATAAGCTAGAGCTATAGGTATTGCCATTTGTCTACCACTCCGTTCGCAATTTCACCCTCCCGTGTGTGGCGAGGCCTTTTATTAGCCCGAGGCTTTGCTTTCTCGGCAAGAAGAGGCTTTCCGGGATCGTTTTAGTGGTTTTGCGTACGCGATACGGCTTGGTAGGCACGTTCTAGGCCGGTGAGCAGGCTGGCCGTGAGGCTTGGATTCGTAGCCAACTCTGCGAGGAGGTTCATATCGATCGATATGGTCGAAAATGATTGGAATGACTGAAACCAGCTATTTGATTGTTGAAAAAGGTGCCATTTTGATTTAGGATTTTGAGAGAACAATTACCTAGTGGTTGCCAAGATCACGGATCCTAGGAAGCCTTTCCCAGGCGGGCAGCCTACGGCAGCCTTTCCCGCAGGCAAAACACCAAGAAATTGAATAGTTTTAACTACCTTGTAAGCTTCCCTCTTGATTTAAAAAAAGAAATGATAAGACTGACTAAGAAGAGAAATCCTACTTTTGGCGAATACAAGTTGAACTAGGCAGAGGGCGGGGTTCTCATGACCTGATGAGAGCATGGATAATGGTGGATGGAGACCTAGCTCGCTATCGAAGGATAGGCGGTGAAGCCCACGTAGCCAATCAGGAATCAACGGTCCTGTCAACAACTTGCAAAAGGTTTTGTATATCATGTTCCATGTTCCATACCAACATTCTGACTCCTGATATCATTATTCTGTAGTATCGGAGGAATTCAGTTTGAATCTGTTGTCTCACTTAGTAGGTAATCTATGCTTTTCCCAGGCATTCATTAATTAGCATGGAGAGTAGTGAGTAGATATGATCTCTTCTAACATCAATCCTAATGAATTATCTTTCTCCCCTTCCTCAGGATGATGGATAATGAATTTTCTTCTCGAAGGAAACATACAAGATTAATAATTTCAAGATATATAACTCATTCTTACTTCACCATGACAGTAGACGTGTGACTCATGAGAGAACCATGGTCCCAAGGTTCTTCTGTTTGATTCCTTCCTCTCCCATCTCTCCTTCTCCCATCTCTCCTTCTCCCATCTCTCCTTCTCCCATCTCTCCTTCTCCCCTCTCTTCTTCTCTCATCTCTTCTTCAAACCATTTCGTCTTCCACGATCTCTATTTCAACCGTTCCTCTACGCACCACCTCTTCTCCTATCCATCTTCATCTTCCCCCGGGCCTAGTCAGCCTGACTCATTTCCAGCTTCCCTGGCCCACCTCCCTTCCTTTCCCCTATCTATCTTCCGCTTCCTTCATTTATCTGCTCACCTAGCCATTTTCATCATGGCACTTGTTGCAAACCCACTTATTTGTCCCCCCAGCGAACTTGAGATTACGTATGCGTCACCGGTGTATCGACGGTCAAGTGACTCTCAGAGCGTACGATCGTGCCGTACGAACCGATCCTCAAGCGACAGTTCCACTCGTGATGGGGATGGCTTTGTTGAGGAGGACCTCCGGGCCGGAGGGCCCTACCTACCGGAACCACCCTGCTTGACCTTTTACCCCCGGCAACATGATCCGTTCCTGCAGAAGCACCAGAAAATGCCCTTGGTAGAAGGTATACTCAATTTAGCGAAAAATAACCAGATCAACGTTATAGAAGTCGAGTTTTGCTATCGCTCATCTGAGCATGATCCCAGCGGTGCGAAAAAGCTCACCTGCAAGTTGATAGCCCAGAAGCAAGACCCGAAGGAAGTCTGGGTGGGGTTCGCCCGCACCGTTCTCGGATTCCTTCATCAGCGCGGCGTGACCAACATCGTGGTTGAGATCATCGATCCGCTATTCCACAAAACTCTCGTCTATGCCCCATGCAGCCCATCCGATCCGATTTTCTCGGATTGGAACAAGGTTCGGGCGAGCATTGAGCAGCAAATACCACTTCGCGGAATAAATGTGATCAGCTGCCACCGGATTGGGACTTCTAGAGACCGCGCGAGTTGTCCGCCCATGGTTATAGTGGGTGTGGATCCTCACGAACTGCGTGACTGGCGGCGGACTCGTGACGACGTTTTGGCAATCCTGAAGACCTTTGGGCACAGCCAGGTTGGAGTGCTTATCAGAAAGGAATTCTTCATGCCTATGTGCTCTTGTGAGGACAAAGGACCAAAAATGGATCGAATTACAGCCAATGGTGCTGCCCGGATAGGCATGAGTCTCTCTCTCAGTGATGAGAAGGACAACCGGGGCACCCTTGGCGGCTACATCGAAATTCAGAACCCCAAGACCAAGAAGTGGTTGCCGATGGCTCTGACCTGCATGCATTGCGTGCTGCCTACCCAGGAGCAGACAAAGATTGCTCCCGACAGAAAGACAGGTGAGTGCTATGAGATCCAGCGGGGAAAAAAGCTTGTTTACTGACTCGTTTTCCTTTAGTTTATGATGGTTTTCGTAAGAACGGTATTCGAATGGATGACGACAAATCTCTGTTGCTCATGCATAGCCCCGCTGTGAGTGAGGTCCTTGAGACAATCGAGGAATTGAAGGAAGGGATACAGGGACATCTAAATGACAACACCTACAAACTCGTGGAGCTCCAGAAGCAACGCAATGAATTTGTGCTTCCCCACCACGAGAAATCGTGGGCACGGCTCAAGGGAGAGCTCCGCGTCAAACATGTTAAACTAGAGAAAGTGCTAAAGGCTCAGAGAGAGAATGAGTATGTTCTTGGGTCGGTGTTCGCAGGCTCCGGATTGAAAACGAAGCAGCTGTCAACTATAAAAAGTCAGGATCCGACGTCAAAGCATCCGTCCATCGTTGACTGGGCGCTTATTCAAATCAATCATCGGGCGCCGGGTGATAACACGGTAAGTGGTCTTCCAGTTCGGACCACTACCTAATCAATTGTCTCTTACTAACCGTACTCTCAGTCATCAGATCTAAAATTAGAGGCAGGGCGACTCGCTGAGTTTGAAGAAGGGGTCTCACCGGGCTATGAAGCGACACTCTTGAAGTTGGGCCATAAAACTGGCTTCACTACGGGGAAGTACAATCCTCTTATGGATTGCAGAGTTGCAAGAAACCCGGAAACAAATGAGGTTATCCTGACTCTAGAACACTCTATTGTCTCTCTTGGTGAAAAACATGGTGTCATCGGCCCAGGCGATTCTGGCGCCCTAGTGTACGATTCCAAGGCCAGGGTCTGGGGCATGTGTTTTGGGGGTGCCGACAACGGCACGAGGGCATATTTTACCCACATCTCAGACTTGCTCGCGGACATCAAGTCAACTTTGGGCGTCACAGAGATTCGTCTCGTGGAATAGTGGTGAGGTTGTAACACTGTGGTCGGTCATGGGGTCTTCTTTTTTTTTTCCCCCTTTTCTCCCTTCATCCTGGAGGGTAAGATCATGGGAGTTTTTTTGGGGGGGGGCCCTGTTCTTCCTTCTAACATCACATGTTTTCCTAATTGCTTCAATTTCCCAATATCGTATGTTCTCCTAATCGCTTTAGTTTTAATGAAATTGCGTGGAAGCCTACGGCGCACGAAGTCATGCCCCGATAAATTGATCACAAACTGACAGCTACCAATAATGATACTGATAGTACTACGGCGTTACAACTCCGGATGTGCGCTAGGATGCTTCATAAAACAACTTCATGACATCGAACGGTGGTGATGTACTTAGGAGTCATATCTATTAAAGTGGACGATAAATCCAGCGTAGCAACTATTCTTCATTGTTGACTGTGAACTGACGTGGTCTGATAACGACGAGCGCATACATCTTGGATAGTAGCCATGATAAGCAACCAACAAGCCAAGACCCTAAACCAAGCGCTCCAAAGACCGCAAAAGCCCCGCCGGCTCCGCCACGCCCTGCTCCGCAATCGCATCAGCCCGTTCCTGCGAGTCAGCAACCGCATAAATACGAAGCTCATCCGCGTTGCCCGATGGCCGGAAATGAGCGACATCGCCGTTGGCAAAGATAATCCGGACGCCGTCGGTGTAGTTTAGACGGGCGATCGGGGAGAACCCGGATGTGCTCGCGAAGACGGCCTGGAGTTCGCGGCGGATCTGGTCGAGCTGCTTGAGGTCTCCGTCTGTGATGTCGACGGCGGCACGGTCGGCGTCGTGGGCAACCGCGGTACCGTCGGAGTTGTACGAGACCTCCTGGGCGAGGGACTGCGAGGGCGAGAAGCGCTGAATGATCTTCATGCTTGTGGGACGGGGGAAGTTGCGGATCAGGGCGGCGCGGCTGAAGCGGTTGGGCAGGGTCGCGAAGAGCTCCGGGAGGGTGATCTGGCGCTGCTTCGCGGCGAATAAGGTGCAGAGTAAGGGGAGGATGGCGTCGCGTGTGGGCAGTGCCGTCAGGAGTCGGCCGTTGCGGTCGATGTCGGAGCCGGTCAGGAAGCCTCCGTTGGCTTCCCAGCCGCAGACGCGGTTGCGGCCCTTCAAGGCGGCGCGCTGCATGCCTTCGATTACGTAGGGGCTGCCGATCTTCGTCTTGGGCTCGGTGACCTCGGCGAGCGGGCCGCGGTCGATCGCGTCGTTGCTGCTGATGGGAACCACCGCGGCATCGACACCCAGGAATTGCGCCACGATCATCCCCAGCAGATCTCCGCCGAAGAAGCGCAGTTTGTCTCCGTCGGGTGCCACCAGGAGTGGGCGATCGCTGTCGCCGTCGGTGGAAATGATTGCGTCGAACTTCTTGCCGGTTCCGTGGCATAGCTTCTCGAGGGTGTCCAGTTGGGCCTGGTCAATGGCTTCCGTGTCGATGGGCACAAACGTGTCGCTGCGGCCGGCGGGGGTCACTTCCGCGCCCAGTTGCTCGAAGACTTCGACCAGGAGATCACGACCGACAGCCGAGTGTTGGTAGGCGAGCAGCTTCATTCCCTGGAGCGTTTCGCCTTGGAAGAAATCCAGATAGCGCTGGATGTACGAGCTTCGTCCCTCGGGAAGAACGGGGAGAAGACTCTGAGGCGGGTTGCGGAAGACGCCTTGCTCGTTGAAGATGGATTCGGCGAATGGCTGTGATAAGAGTTGCTCACGAACGCGTTCTACGGCCTGGTTGATGGGTGCTTCGTTTCGTTTGAGCAACTCTCCCTTGGACGTGTTGAGCTTGTACCCGTTTCGGTCGAAAGGGATATGACTGCCCGTCACCATGATACTGCCCTTGCCATGCTTGAGCGCATAGTAGGTGAGGGCCGGGGTGGGAATCGCGCCAAGGTTCTTAGGATTCATGCCGCCATCCTGCACGGCCTGTTGGACTGCTTGACACAGGGCGCCACGGCCGTTCTCGACATACTGCGTGGAGCTGGGACGGAGATCATAGGCATAGTAAAAGTCATCGCCAGCACGGATACCCCCCTCACTGAGTGGGAGGGAGAGCAAGTATTGGATTTCCGCCAGGACGTTGGTGTAGATCTCCAGCTGGGTCAGATGGATCACTTCCCCGCGGCGGCCACTCGTGCCGAACTTGAGGGGTTGTGGCTGGTAGGCGAGGCGGTCGCGTAACGAAGCCATTATGACAGTTGTCTTTCAGACGGGCTGAAATAGAACTGACAGGACGGAGTAGTTATTATGACCGTATGATAATACTTGCTTGCTGCTTTTGATGTTGTCGGGATAAATTGTTACGCCTCCTTTTTCCCCTCACAGTCGTCACGTGCTGATAGAACACGTGGTTCCATACGCTCGAATCATCGGCCAATGAAAAAAGGGACGAAAAGCTTGGCGAGTTTCGCCTGAATTTCCCTTCCATCCTTCTAGAACACACATTGACTGTCAGACTATTTGACTGGCAACGTTTCTTGATTCCGTGCCAAATCCATACAAACCACAGCCATGGTTCCAGGCAGCGATGGTGAAATTGCTGCACTCAGGAATAGGCGCAGAACTGCCTGACAATGGCTGGACGCGGGCCCACACCTCTGGTGGCGCAAGACTCGAAAATTTGTGCGGGACGATTTTACGGTGGATTACTCATATTCAATGTCAGAGAGAAAGAAGGGAACGAAGTCTAATTTTTTGGGGCCATGTATGTCGCAATTGCAAGGAGGCGAACCCATGCAACATGTCAAGGGTAGTCCGGTGAACAACGAGGGGGCCCGGGTAGGAAGCCCTGAATCGGGATGTCACTTGTACGACTGACTACACGGTAGAAGAGGATAGATGTCGTGTTCGCCTGGAGGAAAGGAGGAGGCTTAAGCATGAAACTAGCCGACGATCATGTTAGGGCGCGAGGAAGACCCCGTCCGACCCTGTTGTCCCAGGGAATTGTGTGGCACAGACAATGTGTGATTGCCGGCTGGGAGTGTCGGCATATTGCGTGCTTTGGGAGGAATCTTCCTCCATCCAGCCCATGGGGAGGGAGGTGGGACCGTAGAAAGGGAGCAGACTATTTCAGCTGCTGCTTCGTCTCCTCCTTCTTCTTTTTATTCTTCCCAGCTTCGTAATTTTTTCAGTCGTTCGTTTCCCCTTGTGTATAATCCCATCCTTTGTCTATAAGAAATTGCAGCGGCGCCCACCTATACCAAGGAGGCACAACGAGAAGCCCGACACAATGGCCCCCCAAATAGGCAAACCGCTCTATCCCACCTCCGACACGGAGACAGCAGAGGAGTCTAAACCAGCCATCCTCCCCACCAAGGAGCAAAGTCCCCTCTACCACCACAGCCTCATCACCACAGACTTCGACGCCCTCAAGTTCCATGCCGCCGCCTCCCTGCAATTGCGCGGTCCCCTCGCCGATGGCTCCACGCCAGCAGCAGCATTAGCACAAATCCCCACCGACAACCTCCTAATCGTCTCTCCCTACAACGCACCAGGCCACCTTCTCGACCTGCGCACGCTGGACACAGCCAACCAGCTCCTGGCGCAGGCGCTCACCATCTTCCAGCCCACGCGGCCGGACTACGCCACGGCGCCATACACGGAGTCGTTCAACTGGGCCGGCGTCTTTGAGTTCCTGGGCCGTCTGGTCAGGAATCACGGTGCGTTCCACTGGCCGACGCAGAGTTTCTATGTCGTTACCTTCCGGTCGAAGTTACGCGCGGACGCGGACGGCGAGCGGTTGCACTTGCTGGATGCGCATTCGCATCAGGAGGCGATGGCTAGTGGGGGGTTGTTGAAGTATTGGTTTGGGTCGAAGGATGGCGAGTGTCGGAATTTGGCGACTTGTGAGTTTTTCTCTTTTCCTTGCTTTTTCGTTTTATGCGATTCGTGTCTTTGGAGTTGGACCTTTGGATGAGGGAGTTGATTTCCTAGTAGTTGTTAAAGGGATTGTTTTGTTTGTTGGGGTTGCGGGTCTGTTCAAGAGATACCGAAAAGTCAATGCTAATACCTTCGGTGACAGGTGTCTGGCGAAGTCGAGAGGATGCGCGGCTGGGTGGACTGGGCCCCTGGCACAAGAAAGCACGTGGGGCGGCGCGTGAGATGTACGAGTCGATCGAGTTCTCGACGTTGCGGTTGACGATTGGAGAGGATGTTGGGTCATGGGGGATTACGGAGTGGAGGGAGGAGTAGATGCAGTAAGAGCAAGAGGGATGATGGTGGTAATGTTGGTGTTACACTTGGAGTTTGTGGTTGTGTTGTTTAGGTTTAGCATTGTTGTTTCTGCTCGATTGGGAGTTGTGGCAGTTAGAGTGATAGATTTTATTAATATACCCTTGTGATTCTTTTTTATACAATGAGATGAAGATGGAAATGTCACTCACCCCAGACATTGCACTAATGCACACCAGTTCCCACTTTCCGCTTGAAGAAGGATTATTTCCCGCACCAGCGAAGATCCCGGTGTCTCCCATTGGACGGTGGGCCAGGGACGGCGGTCCAAAGGGGAGATTTTCCCCGCGGGTTGTGGGGAAAACTGGGCTCGGTTCGGATGGGCCGATACGAAGACAACTGCTTCTCCTGTGTAATCGTTGGCTTCTGGATGGATGCACACGCCTGGAAATCGTTCCTTATCGCCTTCGAAATGCGGGGCAAGCGACATTTGCCAACTTGAGGAATTATCAAGCAGCACGTCACGATGGGCACGACGCGGGGCAGTGACCCCTCTATATAAAGCCCCTCTGTTGCTTGTCCGAACCCAGACGAGCATCGATCCAACACCTCCCTTTTCACTGAAGTTGGAATATCTATCACCGTGATAATGCCCGGTGTCATCAACGAATCCATCGCCGTTAGCGACGGCCCCCTCACCAACGAGAACGCCGCCCTCCTCCGCCCCTCCGACCCCAACCTCCCCCTCGAAGAACTCCGCAAGCGATACGACGAGGACGGCTACCTCTTCCTCAAGCAAGTCCTACCGCGGGCAGACGTCCTCGAAGCCCGCCGACGCTACTTCGACTACCTGGCGCCGACGGGGGTGCTGAAGGAGGGTTCTGACCCGGTGGAGGGCATCTTCAACCCGACCAAGTCGGCGGACGACTACCCGGGCATTGGGGCCGGGGCCGCGGACGGCAACGGACGACCCGGCGGCGAGAGCGCCGCGCAGTTCGTCGACCGCGCCATCGAGGCGCACTACAAGGAATGGTACGTCGACAAGATCTGCAACCACCCCGACCTGTACGCCTACGTCGCCAAGTTCACCGGCTGGGGCCCGGATACCCTCACCTTCAAGCGCACACTCCTGCGCAACAACACCCCCGGCACGAAGCCCATCGGGGTGCACTACGATCAGATCTTCATCCGGCATGGCGAACCGACGAGCGTCACGGCTTGGGTGCCGATTGGGGATGTGAAGATTAACGGTGGGGGATTGATCTATCTGGAAAATAGTGCGTGATTCTCGATCTTCGGGGATTTTATAGAAGTGGGTATTGCTAACGCTCGGTTATGCAGGTGATTCCGTGGGCCAGAAAATCGAGGACGAGTTCACGACCAAGGCCAAGCAGGCGGGATTGTCGGAGGAAGAGGCCCGCTCGGCGTTCAACTCCAATATGGCCGCCACCGGCCTGCTCTCAGATACCCCAGCCGCGTTCGCCAAGGAGCATGGTCGTCGCTGGCTGGTTTCGGCGTTCGAGGCGGGCGATGTGGTTCTGCATAAGCCCCATATGGTATGTTCTTTTTGGATGTCTTGCGGCAGCGGATGGCTGATCGAAGGCAGATCCACGCCTCGACCATCAACAATGACCCGGACAACGTGATCCGTCTGGCTACAGATCTGCGGTTCTGCGACTCGTCGAAGCCGTATGATAAGGTGGGTTGATTCTGCTCCGTATCTACGGTCATGGACTGACTGATGTCTTGTAGAGATGGATGAACTTTTATCGGTTCAACGATGGTGTTTAGTGATTTTCCAGTTGTCTATTTTCCTTTCCACCTATGATATGAAGTTGTGTACCGCAAGGGAAGACGGGGTTGACCGTCCATTGCAAACACTGAAAGCAAATCTTTTAGCTCAAAGCTCTTCTCGTCATACTGTCGTAGCTCCCCTCTGTTCGTTATCATTATCATCATCCTCATCATCGCCATCGTCCCGATCATGAAAAGTACAATGACAGATCCTAGCGTCCGATCATTAGCCCGACCAGACCACCGATACCAAGAAACAAGTCTTACTCCTGATCATCACAGAATCCCCCGGTCCAGCCTCCACCTTGTGCAATGCACTGATCTTATCATTAGCTCTTCCGACCAACAGTGCACTAAATGGATTACATACGGTGTTACGACAGGCGAGATTCGCAATTTGATTCCCGCCGGGGGTCTGGCAGGAGTTCTGCGCGGCGGCGAGGACCTTGCTGGTGAGGGGCACGGCGGAAGCAACCACGAGAGAGCAGAGGGCTATTATGGCTGATAGCTTCATGGTGGGTGGGTGTGTCGGGCGCGATTGAGATGGATGAACATGAGGAGCGCGAAGAGGCCATGCTGCGATGAATTTTACTGCTACGGTGGATGAAGCAAGGTTTGAGGAGGGGGGCAATTGTTGGGTTGCATGGATCTACATGCGATGTGTTGGCGGGGCATTAAGAGCAGTCTGGATATACTACCCCTCCATAAGTAAACTACCCATTGAAGAGAGTCGATGGGAGTTGAATATATTCTTCTGCTGAAGTAAGTATTGAGTCTTAAATATTCCACACGGCAGGTAAGCTATCCATCAGAACAGCAAGAGGTTCAATGGAAATGCTGACTTCGCAATCTGCCGGACCTCCGACCCTTGCATTCGGCGAATTGGCGGTGGACTTGGAGCTAAGGTTCAACCCCCGAACAACACGGGGTTCAAGATCCGATCCTGATAAGACGGGGCTTAATTAGACCATCAAAACAGAATTAGCCCCTCCTCATTCGGCGCACATCTCACCAATGACCGGTTGACTTCGGAGCAGATGCAGGCCGATCAATTGACAATCAGCTGCAAGTCCGCCCAATTTCGGAGGGTTCGGACAACGCAGACATTGGCCAACAATAAACTCATGGAGGAGGGGGAGAAGTAAGCAAGAGAAGAGGGGAAGAGAGGAAGAGCATCGGCAATACAGTTACTCCGGTCCCCAGTTGGGCTCAGCCCCGCCAGCACCACCAAACTTATTTCTCTTCCTCGTTTCCCCTCCCTCTTCCCTCCCTCCCTCTCTCTCTCTCTCTCTTATCTTCCCTCCCCTTTTTTTTTTTTCCTTTATCCTATCCTCCTAGTAGGTTATCCTCATCTTCTCATCAACCGACCTCTCTTGCTAATCTTCCATCTTAGTTTCTCCTCATCAACCTCACACATTCACAATGGCCGCTCCCGCTCAGAAGTTCAAGGTCGCCGACATCGTATGTCTTGCCTATCTCGCCTTCCAAACCAAACCGTTCCCATATTGATGATTACTAGTCGTTGGCCGCCTTCGGTCGCCGCGAGATTGAGCTCGCCGAGATTGAGATGCCCGGTCTCATGGCCATCCGCCGCAGATACGCTGAGGATCAGCCCCTCAAGGGTGCCCGCATTGCCGGTTGCTTGCACATGAGTATGTTTCGTTTTCGTCTTCCCGTGAGATTGTCACTAACTCCTTCCAGCCATCCAGACCGCCGTCCTCATCGAGACCCTCGTTGCCCTCGGTGCTGAGGTCACCTGGTCCAGCTGCAACATCTTCTCCACCCAGGACCACGCCGCCGCCGCCATTGCCGCCGCCGGTGTCCCTGTGTAAGCCCATTCTAACCTGCCCCGTGCATACCCGCCGCTAATACCCCGTCCAGCTTCGCCTGGAAGGGTGAGACCGAGGAGGAGTACAACTGGTGCTTGGAGCAGCAGCTCGTCTCCTTCAAGGATGGCAAGAAGCTCAACCTCATCCTCGACGACGGTGGTGACCTCACCTCCCTCGTCCACGAGAAGTACCCCGAGCAGCTCAAGGACTGCTACGGTCTGTCCGAGGAGACCACCACCGGTGTCCACCACCTCTACCGCATGCTCAAGGAGGGCAAGCTCCTCGTCCCCGCCATCAACGTCAACGACTCCGTCACCAAATCCAAGTTCGACAACCTGTACGGCTGCCGTGAGTCCCTCGTCGACGGTATCAAGCGTGCCACCGATGTCATGATTGCCGGTAAGGTTGCCGTTGTCGCTGGTTTCGGTGATGTCGGCAAGGGCTGTGCCGATGCTCTCCGCAGCATGGGTGCCCGCGTCATCGTCACTGAGATCGACCCCATCAACGCCCTCCAGGCTGCCGTCCAGGGCTACCAGGTCACCACCATGGAGGAGGCTGCTCCCCAGGGTCAGATCTTCGTCACGACCACCGGTTGCCGTGACATCCTTGTTGGCAAGCACTTCGAGGTTATGCGCAACGACGCCATCGTTTGCAGTAAGTTTATCGAGCCAAAAGTGGAAAGCCCATTGCTGACAACGAGCTAGACATCGGTCACTTCGACATTGAGATCGACGTTGCCTGGTTGAAGGCCAACGCCAAGTCCGTCCAGAACATCAAGCCCCAGGTCGACCGCTACGAGATGCCCAGCGGCAACCACATCATCCTCCTCGCCGAGGGCCGTCTCGTCAACCTGGGCTGTGCCACCGGCCACTCTTCCTTCGTCATGTCCTGCTCCTTCTCCAACCAGGTCCTGGCCCAGATCGCCCTCTTCAAGGCCGAGGACGTTGCCTTCGGCAAGAAGTACGTCGAGTTCGGCACCTCCGGCCGCAAGCCCGTCGGTGTCTACGTCCTGCCCAAGGTTCTCGATGAGCAGGTCGCCCTCCTCCACTTGGAGCACGTCAACGGCAAGCTCTCCAAGCTCACCCCCGTCCAGGCCGAGTACCTTGGTCTGGAGGTCACCGGTCCCTTCAAGGCCGACCACTACCGCTACTAGAGGGGTAGAAAACAGATCACCCAGATTCTTTCGTCATTGATTTTTTGGTAATACCCTGAAACGGCTAGAGTTGTTCAACATGGTCACGATGTTACGAAACACATTATACAAGGGTTCTTTTTAACAGGGGGCTCAAAAGCACATTGTCTTCAACGGCAAAACATAAAAGTGGCATAGGCGGGGGCGGGTTTTGATTTGGCATGGCCAGTGAAGTTTTATACCATATGAACACCAGATGAGATAAATAATAGTATTGCGACTTCGCTGATTTTTTTTTGATGCCTTGTAATTGCCTGAGGAGTCGGGCATTAGCTGATTAGTCGTCCTTCCGTAGCACCGGCAACAACTCGGGCTCTGACTATGTGTATCAGTAAGGTGTAAGAAAGGAGGACTTCTATTTGGACAGTTCAACTCGACGCACATATTATCGCCCTGGTTAGCTTCAGTATTAAGACAGTAACCATGTTTTACACCTCGGCCTGGAGACTGTAGAGATATGTTCCACCGTGCTAGCAGTTAATCACGTGATCAACCTCGGAGACAAGACCGTCGACCGGCAATGGTGCAACTCCGATGGGGGCGAGACCAAATTTCGCACCCCATTCAACCACTAATCCGTATACCTACTCCATCACGGCAACATCGTAAGACCTTTCTCTCCCCAAAGTGACCCAACAAGCACCTCAATCCAGGTGTCCATCCCATCCCCTTTAATAATCCCCTCAACTTGAGTCTCTATCTCTCTCCCGCTCGAGAGCGATCAATTCAACCCCCACAACCCCGCCCCTTCCCCCATCCATCTTCTCTCTTTCGAGAGAGAAAAAGGACACAAAAGATGCGCCCCCAAGGCGCCCGCTCCTTCACCCCTTGGCTGGACCTGACCTACCGGCTCTTCGACAACACCACCGCGACGACGCCGTCCGGCCGCGCCAACCCGCTCGGCATCGGCTACGTCACCCAGGCCCGCGAATGGCGCCGCGTCTATCTGCATCCGCGCTTCCGCGAGGAGTTCCGCCGGTTGGCGCGCGCGCATGCCCAGAAGGGGTTCCAGGATGAACGGGTTGAGAAGGTTGTTTTGAAGTAGGTTTTTCTTTTGCTTTTGCTTTTTTGTTTTGTTTTTGGGTTGGTTTATTTTGGGTTGGTTTATTTTGGATTGGGTTTTTTTTTTTTTTTTTTTTTTTTTTTTTTTTTTTTTTTTTTTT